TTAAGAGGCAAGCCGAAGCCATCCGAAACAGGCAGGGAACAAGGTGATAATAAGAGAAAATGTGTTTCTCAGACAAAGGAGCAGACAGCAGGGGACAGCAGTTCAGGGAAAGAGGCGACCATTAGGGAGAGTGTGCCGAGAGGACGTGCTGATCCCTCTGAATCATACTGGTGGAAGCACAGCCCGTTTGAACTCCTTGGCAACTTCAGCCTGGTCTCCAAGTGGATTGGGGGAATGAGGACAAAAGAAAAGTTCACTCTGAGTTCCTCTCATCAGAGCAGGGGAAATTGCTTTGAGGCCAGCACTAGAAGATGTTAATGGTAGAAAGCAGAACCCAGTAAAAGAAGAAAAAAATGTCAGGTCACTGGGAGCTTGCCCAGCATAAAGTGAGATAAAATCACCACTGACAAGATGTTCAGCCGAGGTCCTACCCCATATTGCTGTGCAAGTCACTTCTAACCAGTGCTCAGCTGGCTAAAATCTGAAGATAATGCCTCAACTGCTCTGACAATGTTCGTTCGCTTGACAAACAGTAATTGGGCTCTCAAGGTGTCAGCCAGGACTATAGCTGTTAGTGCTGCAGGGTGCAATGGGAGCCCTTATGTCCTTGTACCAACTGGTTTAGTGAGTCAGAATGGATCACTGGAAAGTGAGTACTGGGAAATCGCTGCTGACCCTGGAAGGGCACAGCCCAGCAGACAATAGTGAAACCAGCAAACAGTTAGCCATTGATGATTAAGCAGTTAGTAACTTTGGGGGATAGAAATTGGCCACCTTAAAATATGTCTCTGCCTGAAAGACACTTTGATCCCCACCCCCACTAACTGACCAAAAGTGCTTGGGTTGGGAGGCCTGCCCCCAGAACAGGCCATCACCATGGACATCTCCAGGTATCTGGGAGGGTCCTTGCTAAGACCTGTCTTGCTTCTGGTTACCCTTTGTAAGAGACATTTACATTTGTAAAGGAAATCTCCATTTTTAAAAGTGTCTTCTTCCCTGTACCAGGAAGGGTGGGGGGTGGCGATGGCCTTACCTAGAAACTTATCAGAATGGAAGGTGAAGACTTAAATCTACATGCTAAACTTACCCATTGTTAACTGTGCTATTTAGGCAATATGCTATCTGACTCTCACGGGGTTCCTACAGATGACATCTCCCTGGAAGCCTGGGTCACTATGGTAATGGGTGTTTGAGCTATTTTTTCAGGAGTTGGAACCCCTTGCCCACTTTAGCCCGGTTGAGACCACCAACCCGTCAACTGGGCCCACACAGACATATGTCCAATAAGCGACATTTTGACGTCAAGAGGTTAAAACCCCAACCTCAGGGGATGCTAACGCCATCATTCTGTGAACATGCATCCTACGAAGAGGCATGAAGTCTGACAACATTTGCAGAGATCATCAATTACCTCATCTCTCCTCACCTCCAATCATTTCAGACCGACTTGCCCCCTACCCCATAAATATCCCTGAGCCCCTATTTCGGGGAAGCGGATTTGAGATTCATTCTCCCGTTTCCTCACTTGGCTGCCTTGTGATTATTAAACCCTCTCTCTCTGCTGCAATCTTGTCATCTTAGTGTTTGGCTTTCTGGGCAGCAGGCAAAAATGGACCTGGTGCGGTAACAATAGGGTAAGATGTAGGAGAGCCGAAGTGGTAACTGCAAAGAAATACGTGTCTGTTTAAACTCCTTAAGAAGCAAGACACAGCGACTGCTAGTCTTTCTTCACCAGGCCTAGCAGTTCTCATCCGTAAGAGATGTTGAACGAGATGAGTTGCACCTTCCCTTCGGGCAGATGTAGAATGGTTCTGAGAGATATCTGCTCACACCGTGGAGTTGGGACAACATGGGGATCGCTTAATGTGGGACCCTGTAACCAGCTGCAGGACCTAGAAACTATAGGTGCTTTTTCTGTATATTCTGATGAGCCATTGAGAAATTTTCAAATGCTAGAGATGCCAAAGCCTTCCATCCAGATTCTAAACCAAAGGCTGCAAAAACTAGGCACAGCTAGATTCCGTTTGGCTAGCAGAATATTTTTAAAAAATTGATCCAGTATTTAAAAATTGTAAGATTTCACCTGAAAATCCAGACTGTTGGCTTCTCTGAGAGACTGGGAGATCTGACAGCACTGGACCCACAGTGGCAATTAGTGAGAGGTGAGTAGCAGCTGTCCCATTGAGAAGGGGCACCTGCTATCTAGTGTGACCACCTCTACCACTCACACTAGGGTGACTATATAACTTGTTGTCCACACTAGGGCACTTTTGAGAGTAAGACAGGGTGCTATTAGTAATTATGCCTGGACCACAGACATAAACCAGGTTTGTTGTGGGCAATGAAGATGTATGGTTACCCTAATTCACAGGGCTTACACTGGGCTTGCTTTGTCCTTCTCTGCCCACTGTTATTTGAGTTATGTGGTCATAAGTCAGGGATTCTCATGAGGAAAAAGAGAGAGAAAAGGTGTAAAATGAGGAAGAAACCTGAAAGTTGAGAAAAAGGAAGGAAATGAAAAAGAATATTAAAATGAATGCCAATTACACCAAACCTTCAGGTAAAGGCAGAGCCTTGCTGGTGGCTGGCTCAGCGTGTAAGTTTGACCTTCCTGGCTCCCTGCCCTACACAGCACTGTCAGTTTTAATAAGCTGTAATCCCGTAGCTACCAGTGAGACTAATCAAACTGCAGAGAGCAGACTGTTCCTAATCAGGAAGGCACAGAATAATTATTTAACTCTGTAATTTCTCAGTGAGCTCCAAGCTGCCTCAACAGAAAAAAACATCCTGGATAAGATAGTTGCTTACACACTCTAATCTTGACCTTTTGATGGTCTTTGTGTGAAATTTTTATTAAAATGCTTTAATTACACAAGTATTTGGTTTAAAAAATGTTTTAAATGAATCTTTTCCCTTATTCCCAGAGAATAATAAAATCTCTCTCCCCCGAGGCATATAGGAAACCTCAGACCTCTATTGATTACCTGAGGCCACTTGAACTGATCACAGACCCAAACCCTTTCAACACTATTCAGGGTGTGATTACAGTCCCCAAACTGGGATGGGAGGGATTTGGGGACATGGAATGGCAACTCACATTGAGTACCTACAGACCTACAGGTGCCAGAATGGTTCCGTGGGCTACACATGCCAGTGCCAGCTATTCCCCATTGGAGGACTGGGAGCCAGGACGGAGCTACAGCAAAGCTCCAGAGGCACCCTATACCTCAGGGCCAGAAGGCCCCTCTGTTCAGTCCTGCTTCTCTTAGCCCCTTCAACCCAGGAGCACGTCACAAGAAGCTATTTAGTGCAATGGTTAACTGTTGAGTTTTAGTCAGATGGAGCTCAAGTCTAAGCCACAAACTGACTAGTGGTAGGCCCTTAGGCAAACTGCTCAACCTTCCAGAAATTCCCGGTAGGCCCTCAGGCAGGACACTCAACCTTCCTGAAACTCAGTTCTTAACATAGGAATAATATCAACACCTCACAGCCATGCTGTAAGGGTCAATGAGACATGTACGGAAAGCATTTACTAAGGTGCCCGGCACATTAAAAATGCTCCACAGACTGTGGTTATTATTATTTTTATTATGTGCTAGTCTGGCCTCCAGGCCCCTAATTATATAGAGACAGGTCTATCACTGAATCTCCTTCTTGGATTCTCCATTTAGTGTGAGTGCACTTAAAACAATGACTACAGATGGAACAAATGAAGAAAACTTTTTTTCCAATGGAGAACATTTCTGGTACCATGGAAATTTAATATTTTGTTTAATAGACTCACTACTATTTATAGGAAACAAGACAGTCTATTTTTTTAATTAAAAATGTTTATTGGCTATTGACTTTAATAGATTTACATTAAAGACACATTTTTTCAAATGTGCTAATAAGAACAAGACCCAGAAAAATAGACAATGTTGGGCAGAATTTTCAGTGTTTTGAACATAAATAAAAAGTCATAAATTTTATATGGATTCTGGGATATTTATTAACACTCCTCCAACAATGGGTTTGGCATTGAGTGGGAATATAAACATATGAACAAGACCAATCCAATATATTTCAAAACAGATCCTTGAAAACAGAAACTCTGCCTTTCATAAGTACCCTTGTCATTCATGGAGGAGAGGTTATAGGAATGTCCATGAATTCCAGAATTCATGAATTTTAGAATTCATGGACATTCTTAAACCACTAATAAAAGAAAACCATATAGATGGGCACATAAAAATACAGTTAACCAGGGGCCAGCCCCACGGCATAGTGGTTGGGTTTGGCGTGGTCTTCTTCGGCAGCCCACGTTCGTGGGTTCAGATCCTGGGCGCAGACATATACCATTTGTCAGCCACTCTGTGGCAGTGACCCACATAACGTAGAGGAAGATTGGCGTTAGCTCAGGGTTAATCTTCCTCAAGCAAAAAACAAGGAAGACTGGCAACAGATGTTAGCTCAGGGGTAATCTTCCTCAGCATAAAAAAAATACAGTAACCACATAATAATTAAAAATAATGTTCAATAATGCCCGCTAAAATGAACAAACAGCAAAATATAGCACAAGAATGTGAAAAAAATATATTTCACACACCTACAAACAAAACAAAGGCATCTTTTTGGTTCTATTGTTGTTTTTACAGAAACTATGTGCGTACACGTACATGTATGTGTATTCTTAGGAAAAACTTGACAAATATAGAAAAGCACAAAGAAAATTAAAATCACCTGTCACACCTTCAACACAAATGTCACTCCTTTGGTGAGAGCAAAAAAAAAACTCATAGAATCAGAGACAATGCAAGAAGCTCTTCCCAGCCTCAGGATCTGCTGATGCCAATTCACCAACCACTTCAAAATCCACAGGCCAAATCTCTTTTTTAGGCTCTCAAATATCTGTACTGTTGCCTGGCTCCTGGCACCACGGCATTTTTCAACAGGCCAAGAGTGATCAATAAACAAGGACACAAGGAAGGCTATGACTCTAATCTAAAACTTCTTGGTCCCCAAATATTAGGGCCAGATGGAATCTTAGAAGTACATTTAGTCCTATGCACTGTACCTGTCCCCATTTTTTCAAGAGGAAACAGCTATGGAGAGGTTGAGTTGCCCAGTTGTCACAACTGAGTAGAATTGAAACCTGATCCTCTAACTGCCAGGCCAGGGCTCTGTCCAAGTGGACACACGGAATGTGTAGCCTCAAGTGATGGGGCTACAGTTATTATGTGGTTAGACTATTAATGAGCCTGAGGGACAGATCACAGTGGATCTCTGTGATCAGATGAAAGCAGCTCAGCAAGTTTCGGCTCCTAACAGGCAACTGCATTGGCTCTAGGGGGACAAGTCACAAACAGACCATGTGGTCAAATGAAGGAGTGTGCCTGGGCCAACCGATCATAGGGGCGATGTGTGAGCCCCACCTTCCATAGAGACGGGAGCCTGCTTAAGTCACAAGAGCCATTTCTGACTGAACTGCACTGCCGGGGCAGTGTGGAAGGCAGAAATGTCCATAAGAGGTCCCTGAGACGATAAGGATTAAAATAAAGAAAACTCTTGAATCAGCCAGATTCCTTCTCCAGTCAACAGACATGTGTCCACAGAAGTCATGCTACTCATGACCAATCATCTCCCTTCAAGCTCCAATCCAGCTCAGTGAACCCTCAGAATCTCATCACCCCCACTTCACGGCTGTCCCTTCACATCTAAAGCTTTTGTCTTTGACTAAACAAATCTCTATTAGAGTTAGCACAGAAACATTAAAGGTCATGGCTCAATTCTTTCTGATCAACCCAGGTCATTTAAGTCTTTAGAAGAAATCTCTTGAGCCTCAAGTGGGCAGAGTTCGGTACAGACGTTCCTTATTTGAGCAGACCTTATTCTCAAACATAAATATTAAAGCTAAGATCCTTTCTTGTTCTCTTCTCCCCAAATTACAATAGCGGTACAGGCTCAAGGTGCAGATTCAGACTGTGTATGCCAGGTCTCAAGATGCCTGCCTATGGATGAGCTCTTTCAACTGTGCTAGTCTGCCACTTTTCAGCGCTTCCCGGATGGAGTGGAAAAATCCAAAGTAGTGTTCAAAGTTGTGCATCATAAGCAGGACCCCAGCCAACAGCTCGTTGGTCACCAGCAGATGGTGGATGTACGCACGAGTATGATTCTGACAGCAGTAACAGGAACACCCTCTCACAAGCGGCTCAAAGTCCTCCTGGTACCTGAGAAAGGAAGTTACAGTGATATTTCAGAAAGGGAAGAATACAAGAAATCCACAACCTAGGCTATCTATTCTGCTGGTGCATAACCAATAATTAATAACATCACTGGGAAATATAGTGCTGGGCACCTGCTTAAGATGGCAGTGTGGCCCAAAGTCAACAAAGCACAATGAGCCAGGAGACTCAGGAGTCTTCCTCCGATGGATACGGCCTCCTGGACTGAGGCTTACCAAGGAGCACTGAGAGACAGTCGTGTGGTCACTCTCTCATGCTGGGCACTGTTAGTCACACTGTAAAGGCATACAATGTTACGAAATGCTGTTCTGATGGACGACACTTTTCTCCCATTTGCCACCAGAACTAGTATCAAAAGACATGCCACGACCTTTCACTTGCACAGCTTTTTGCAGTTTACAAAGCATTTTACATACATTGTCTCATTTAATCTCTGCAACCCCCCTTGGAGATGGGCATTTTTATTGTCATCTTACTGATGAAGACTACTAAGGGGGCTAAGAGGGAGGGCTCTGGAGCCACAACACCTGGGTTGGACTCCTGGCTCACGACTCACTGGGGCAAGTCACTTACCCTCCCTCTGTGTCTTCGTTTTCTCATCTGTAACGGTAATAAGGGTCATAACAGTGCCTACCGTTAGAGTTGTTACAAGGAGTAAACGAGTTAATATAGTAAAGGGGTTGGACACTGCTGGGCACATACTAAGCACTACACATGTGTTACCTTTGATCAGCTATTAAACAGAAGTTAAATGACTTGACCAAAGTCACATAGTCATGAGCAGTGCTAGGATCTGAACTCCCAATCTCCAAGACTTCATTCAGGTCTAGTGCTGATAGTAAGAACATTACAATTTCCAGTTCAATCGATAATGTAGAGGGAATTTTGGTAGTAACCATTTATATTAACCTAGCACTTTAAAAACAGAAATGAATCTCCTTGGCTATTTTTCAAGAAGTTAAATGTGGTAAACACCACCATTTCAGACCTACAATCAACAGGACCCTAGAGAATATAGATAAGAACTAGGAATTTCATATTCTTTCATAACTTTTCAAGTCTGTACTATTACTAGAAAGACATAAGTCTAAGTCTGAATCCCTGTAACATCCTTTTACACAAGACCAAGCACACCCAGCACTAAAGAGTGAACCAAACTCATAGGAAAACCACTCTCTGGGTCACTGATTATTAGCACTTTTGGCCAAATACAAAGTTACAAGATATCTTAGTCCATTCTTTATAGAGGCAAATATTTTATTTGAGATTTATAATCTGTATATAACCAAGATGACTTAAGTTCCCTAAAATTTAAAAACTTTGTTGTGTTTTATCTTGAAATCCTTATTTTGTTCTGTCATTATTTAAAGTAACTGGAAGGAGTAAACACATCAAACAATGGATTTGGTCTAATCTTTCTGATAGCTCTTCTAAAACAATAGTTATCCAGCCTCAGTTTTCTGACAAGACAAAGTACACAAATTCATCTGCAGAAATAAAGTTTTTTTGGAACTGAATTTGAGAAGGTCCAAATAATACCCAACTATAAATTTTATATGAAGTCATAAACTGAAAAGGGAACAGTTACATAAACTTTTAAAACAGACTGAAATTAAAAAATCAGAAATCAAAATCCCAACTTAAAAAAATTCCTTACTTTTTTTCCTTCAGATTAATTTCAAATGATGTCATTTCTTGGTTGCAATGGGTTGTTTTAATTTTCTTTGTTTGATGCACATATTTTATTTCTTCCTGTGTCCCATTCTGTTGTAATACTGAAGGACAAACCAACAGAAAGTCTTGAATGAAGATCAGATAAGGAGTGGCCTTGGGAGAATTTTATTTTAGTTACTACTTCATGCACTTTGACCCTGTAATTCCCTCTTGAGAATTTATCCCAAGGAAATGAAACAAGTAAAGAAAAATAGCCCTATGTACCAAGATGATGACTGACCTATTATCTATAATATCAAAACTTGGAGACTCAGCAATGTCTAAGCAAATTATGGTTACAACTATATAACATACAATCTTACTGTCAAGGGATGATTTTAAAAAACCAGTTGGGGTATGTGTGTATGTTTGTAAGAGAGAGAGAAAATAAACGTGTATGTGTGTGTACGTGTGTACGTGTGCCGGAGTTATGTCTCATCATAATATACATGCAAATTAATTGGTCTTTGTGACTGCCTATGTTCCAAATAGATGAAAAGTAAAATATGGTTTTAATTTATGTGTTCTGTATGGAGACTCTGGCCCTCCAGGGAACTCAGATTATCCAGAATTAAATGTTCCCTTGAACTCTTTGCATTAAGAAAGAACATTCCCGGAATTGTAAGAGCAATACCAGTTACTATGCAAAGAACCAGCTGCCTTGAACAGGGCCAAGTAGAGAAGCATTGCCGGGAACGAGTAATAACAGTCTCAGGGTTGGCCCAAGGAGAATAGGCAGACAGTCCTAAAAAGGTAATTTTGTCCAGGTTAAGGGAAAAAGAAAAGTGACCTGAGCATTGAGCACAGGGCTGCTATACCATAACAAAGCCCTGGCTTTTTGCAAAGTCCTTGTCACTAGGGGGAATTGCTACCTATATTAGGCAACTCATTCCTTTGGAATTTTCACTTTGTAATTGGCAAAGAACTTTAATTTACTATACACACACACACAAACATGATTAATAATAATATTTTAATAAAAATGTTCATACTATTTCAGTTTTCCTAATCATGAAGAAACTTGGCTTTCTCTGGCCGAAAAGGAACTTGTTTATTCCAGAGAATGCAATAGCAGGTTCTTTGTAGAGTTCTGCATCTTCTGGTACGAAATGACTAACAGCTACCTATGTCCTGGTAGAAATAATTTAGCCTGTAAATGAAGTCATGAACATTTATAAAGTGTTTATGGTACACCTATCCACAAACATTAAGTTCTGGTCTGTCTAAAGGACAGTAAAATTGACCTCCTATAGATAAGAATTTGATCAAACCAACTTATTTTATTTCCAAAAGTAATTCGACTTAGATTAACGGTTAAGTTGCTTTATAAAAGTGTAACATCTTCTACAGTGGAATACTACTCAGCCATAAAAAAAGACAACATCATCCCATTTGCCACAACATGGATGGACCTTGAAGGTATTATGTTAAGTGAAATAAGCCAGTCAGACAGATAAACACTGTATGACTTCACTCATATGTGTAATATAAACTAACACACAGAGAGAACTAACAGAGAGAACAGTTTGGCGGTTACCAGGGGAAGGGGGTTGGGGGGTGGGTACAAGGGATGAAGAGGCACATTTATATGGTGACTGACAAATAATAATGTACAACTGGAATCTCACAATGCTATAAACTATTAAAACCTCAGTAAAAAAAAAGTGTAACATCTTCTGAATGAAATTTTAATCACTTGTGGGGAATAAAAAGAACCTTTAAAGAAGTCTCTGGCCCTACTCAAATTTAAGGGTGGCGGTGACAGAGGAAGAGTTCAAAGCACAGCAGGACGAGGGAAGCATAGCCCACCTCCGAAGGCCGAGGGACAACCGGGCAGGCGACATTCTCCTGAAACACCAGGTAGATGCTTCAAGGGACCCCAGCCCACAGCCTGTGTCCCAGTTCCTTCTCTATTGCCAGGTAAATGTCAGAAGCTGAAACTGATTTTCTTGACTTCTGAATAACTAAGCAATCAAAGAAAATGGCAGTGCTTCAAAGGAAAACAGCTTTCACATCTCAGTGTGTAAAAAAAAAAAAACACCAAAAAATAAAAGTAACACTGGGATCAGAAGGGGTGAGACTCTCTGTATTTTAACAGCATGAGGTTTGCAAAAAGCAGACAAGAACTCTTCTGTGAAAAAAACGAATTAACTTGCACCAAGCAGTTCAAAGGTTTTCTTTTCTTAGATTTTCATCACTGTTCACTCGGAATGTTCTTTTTGCAGGTTGTTAAGAAGAGGTTTTGTTTTTCTTGGTTCTGCTCATTACAAATCACTTCCTAATATCGATGAGTTACGTGTATAGTATTAAGTACCTGGTTATGTGTGCCAACACGCCGGGGTGAACAGATAAGAAACAAAGATGTAGTTTTATAAAAGCCTGGCTTTACAGCCTGCACATATTTCTGGCTTGTGACTCAAGCCAAAAATTCACAGGAAATAGAAGAAATTTAAGGATAACACAGAGATTAACTTCAAAAGACCTACATGTCTCTTCAGGATTCGGCTGGTAATCAAAGCTGAAAGCCAGGGCACATCCCCGCTCCGTCACTTGATAAGGGAAAAAACTCTCAAATAAGTCCACTCCTCTCTCAATACACTCGAGCACCTCATCTGGCCGGCTAACACCACAGATGAGCCTGTGAAAACAACAATCAGAACAGTGACATGAGGACAATGCCAGGAATGAAATCAGAGAGTCTTTCCAGAGGGCATTAAAAGTAATAATAATGAAAATCACCAATCACAGTTAGCATGGCAGGCAACAGATAACAAGGTGTGGTGGAAAGAACATAGGGCTTTGGAGGCAGAGACCTGGGCTAGAAACCCAGCTCTGCCATTTATTTACTTGCTCTGTTTCTTTAGGAAAGTTTCTTAACCTCTCTGAGTTTTAGTTTTCTCATTTTAAAAACAAGAGCAATAATACATACCTCACAGAATTGTTGTGAGGATTAATGAGATATTTGAAAAAGTACATATGTAGTTTCTGGCCCCAAAGAGAAGGTCAATAAAAGTTAGTTTCCTTTCCCCTCTCATCCTGTCTGAACAACTTCCCTGGTCTTAGACTGAACTTTATAGCCTATCTATGTACTATGTAGATTTTTTACGAGCACAAAGCTGTGTGCTTTATTTCCCCCTCAAACACTTTCCATGTCTATAATTCTTTTTTATAATTGGCTCTAGAAAGACATTTTTATCTTCTATATTCTTCATAGGTTCACTTACAAAGTAACCCTTGCTCTCAGAATGTCAACTCTGCCCAGAGGATCTAAGAATCTAGTTGGCTTTCTTTGTGCTTCTTTTTATTTTCTCCATTAATAAAGTCTGCCCGGTGGAATGAGATGGTATTTTCAGAGGAAATGGGTAAGGCATTCCGAGTGTTAATATTACTCAACCAGGTTTTGCCACTAAAACGAGACGGGGAGATGCACTAGAGCAGGGCTGGCTGCTAATTTTTATGTTTGTTTTTCTACCCATAGTCCTTTTTATGAACTGGCAGAGAAAAGCTTGCAGACTCCCCAGTTTCTAAAAGAAGTCCAAAAAAAGGTTTATGTAATATTAAACAACCAGAGCCCTTACATATATGCCAGTTTCTCTGACTACAGTTTCCTTCAAGTAATGTAATGTTCTAGAACTCCTCTCCAACTGAAGCTGGCATTTCTACACACTTATAGAAAGAAAAACAATCCCAGCTTTCAAATCCAGTGACAGACATCTGTGAGCACTTAACTCAAAGAAGTCCAGGAGATGACTAGAAATCCTAGTGCGGAATTGTCATCTGCACCAGAGAAATGAGCACAGGAGGGGGAGCAACGAACACTGGAACTAGGTTAAAACTGGGGAGCAAATGCTGGCTGGGGTGAGGAAAATGTCTTGTTCTGGCTGGTGTTTACACAAGTACACACGTGTGAAAATTCATCGAGCTGTACGTAAGACTCACACACTTTACTGCAAGTTACACCTGGATTTTTTTTAAAGTGGTAAAATTACATATACTATATACTATCCAACATCCCAAGGGGTATAAAACAGCACCTCATAATCAAACCTCTTACTATATCTTCAGGAAAAAGGCATGAATATTCACACCAAGTGGGATAAAAGACTAGTCTTTTTTTTTAAATAAAGAAAAGAGAAAAAAATTGGAGTAGTCTAATGAAACATCAGCTGCACTCAAAAACCTGGGATTTTTAGCTTTGAATCTTACAGATCATGTCTTCTCACTAGTACATAGTGAATCCTGCGATTTATGGAAAGAACCAACGCCAATGGTGTTGCTAGTCCCGTTGATTTCAAAAAATGACATCCCTCTCTTAAATGTCTCTATTAGTAGGGCCCATCTCCATTCCACCAGGCATCCCAGATCTGTCCTTTACTTGCCTTGATTAAGGCCAGAGGCCCACCTGATTTTATACCTGTCCCCATGCACCATGTTCTAATGAATAAAGAATAATATTTGTTTTTGGCACAAGAATGAGGGGAAATAGTATAACACTTTCCCTCACTTATTACGAGGATCAAATAAACTAATTCGCACAGCAATGGTCCTATGGTCTACATTCTGAAATCAAGGACAGGACAGCCTTGATGGAACCTGCCCCCCCTCAGTCTGTCTCAGGAGACTCAGCCCAGAAAGGACATAATCAAAACATCAGAAGACACGCCCATGTACAGACTGCATAACACACAGTCCCCAGCACTCCTGCCCTGCAGCCCACGAGGCTTGACCTGCATCCTAACTGAACACTAGCCTCGGTTTGTCCTCTGGCAGCTCCGCAGTGACTGACGACAGCAAGTGCAGTCTAGTCTCCAGGGTCATTGGATTCCCTTGAAAGCCATCCAGCAGGAAGCCACCTACGGGCCGCTTGGCTGTCTCTCGCGCTGACCTCAGCCTCTCCTCCATTACGTCTCCACCTTCAATCACTCCAATGATCGTACTTCTCTGAAGGACCTAAGGCAAGAAAGCATGAATGCTTTTAGCCATTTCCAATAGTGCAGACCCCTGTTTAAAGGAACCTTACACAGAAGCCCAATGGACGGACGAGACCAGGGGAGCTGCTGCAGTGGAAGCCTGCAGAAGGATGGTGCTTCCTTGTCCCCGAGAACCTCAGGGCTCCAGAGAACACAATTTGAAAGCCACCCAAATAGGCAAGAAAAGACCGAGGAGAAACTGAGGCAATCAACATATGTAGTCATGCTTTACCTTAGATTAAATTAAAGACAAACTTAGCAGGTACAAGAGGAAAAGGACAAAAGGAAGAGTTTTAATTTGTTTAAGTGACTATCCAGGCCTGCTTTAGGCCACCACCAAGCCTCTTAGTTATAGATAACTTTAGGAACTTTGAAACCAGTTGGGACAACTGACTATCCTTTTGGAAAAAAATAAAATAAAAACTACACTGCAGGGCTGGCCCCGTGGCTTAGCGGTTAAGTGCGCGCGCTCCGCTACTGGCGGCCCAGGTTCGGATCCCGGGGGCGCACCGACGCACCGCTTGTCCGGCCATGCTGAGACCGCATCCCACATACAGCAACTAGAAGGATGTGCAACTATGACATACAACTATCTACTGGGGCTTTGGGGGAAAAATAAATAAATAAAATTATTAAAAAAAAAAAAAACTACACTGCACATCCTCAAAAATAAATTCCACAAGATTTATTGGCCCTAAGATCTAAACATAAAAAATATAGTTATACAAGTATCAGAAGAATATACTGAATATTTTTATAATCTTGGGATAAGGAAGGCCTTCCTAAGCACCCTAAAGCTTCCAGGAAAAGGCTGACATATTTGAATACAAAAACATTAAAACTTCTCTAGTGAAATATTCTATAACAAAGGCAAAGGAGAACTTACTCTTTGGAGGAATAGGTAAATATCTACACCAGGGCCGGCCCCGTGGCTTAGTGGTTAAGTGCGCACGCTCCGCTGTTGGCGGCCCGGGTTCGGATCCCGGGCACGCACCGATGCACCACTTCTCTGGCCATGTGAGGCCGCATCCCACATACAGCAACTAGAAGATGTGCAACTACGACATACAACTATCTACTGGGGCTTTGGGGGAAAAATAAATAAATAAATAAAAGAAATAGTAACTAATGATTAGAATTTATAAAATAAAATAAAATAAAAAAATAAATAAATATCTACACCATAGAAAAAGCTCCAACAAATCCTCCAAGGAAATGAAAACCCCATAAAAATCTAGGCAGATATGTGAATATCAACTTCAGAAAAATAAATGTGAATGTCCTGTAGACATATGGAAAGCGAGCTAAACCTCACCAGTAAGGACATGCAAATTGGAAACAATTAGATACCATTTTTGCCCATCACACAGACAAAAAGTTAAAAGACAGCAACACAGTAGAGGTGAAGGTGTCAGAGAAATGGCTGTTATACACCCTGATAACCAGAGAGTGAAAATTAGATCAGCCTCATGGGAGGGCAAGTAGAAACACTTATCAAAATGCCAACGCTTTTATCTCTATATGCTAAAATTCCACTTCTAAGAATCTCTCCTGCAAATATATTCACTCATATGCACCAAGGTATATTTACAAAGATGTTTAGATTAATGAAATATAACCTAAATATCCATCAGTAGAGTAAAGGCCTAAATAAAATATGATATATTCATAGTATGGTTTCCTCTGCAGCTGTTTTAAAAAGAATGCAGCAGATAGAGTAATATATCATTGACAGGGAAAGAGTTTCAAGACACTATTAAACCAAGAAATTTCTGAACATATGATCATATTCATGTAATAAAAACCACATATAGATATGCATATATATGTAATAATTATGTGTATGTAACTGTAAAAAATAAGGTTTGCAAGGAAATACACAAATCAACAGTGGCTCTCTGGTAGAAGAGAGGAATGCGGAGGGAGCCTGGCAGGCTGTGAAGAGGGAATCCCACTTCTTAGTTTAAGCAGGAGGGACACAGACTATTCCTCTAGAAAGAACACTTTGGATGCTGTGTGGAGAATGAACTAAGGGTGAATATGGCTAAAGGATGGGGTAAGAGACAACTTTAATATTCCAGGTAAAAGATGAAGAGGATGTGGACTAAGGCATGGGCAGTGGGGTGAAGAGGAGAGATAGGATTTGAAACCTCATCAGGAGGTACGATCAACACAACTTGTCTGATGGAAGGAGAGGATGAAGACAGTCTAGGATGCCTCCTGGCTCCTTTGGGAAGTCCAGGGAGACAGTGAAAAGAGCAAAGACAGGGAAGCCTAGAAAAACAGTGGAGGTTGAGACAAGATGATCATTCTGTTTTGTGTATTCTGTGTTTGAGGTATCAGAGGGCCGTACAAATTCAGCCACTGAATATGTGGTCCTAAAGTTATGGACACGTGTGATAGAAATGTGATTGCCCAGGCTAGAATGTTAGATGTCTGGCACAGTGCTACCGTTCCCCACTCTAGCTTCCAAGGCAGACGTGGCTAATAGACTCCTCTCTTCCTGCTGCACCCGGGTACAGCTCCAAGCACACTGCGATGAAACCCATTTGCCATCCCTGGCCTAGAGAATATATGAAAAAGAAAAGAAAGCCAACAACAATACCTTGGGGAGCTTCAATATTTAAGGGCATTCAGAATAAGAGGATCCAGTGAATAAGAGGGGCAGGAATCATAGGAAAGGAAAAGACGTATGCAGACATACAAAGCAGACACTTACACAGGCCTGTCCCTCTACATGACTGGTACAGCCCTATCTGGGAAACTCCTTTTCATGGGTGTAAGAAGTATGATCACATAATTAATTGTCTAAAATGGAACACATTTAAGAGTAAAAGGGGGCACTATTAATAATCATATCAAGACAACAGCATAAGCATAAGGGGTACAGAGAGACACCCCAGCATTTGACCAACACACAGACATAGTGTGAAATGGTGAGGCTGACTGTAACACAGAAGAGGGACTTGAGGCTCATCTGGCCTTTCTAATAATCACGCTCTGTCATAGTCCCTGTCCTCCTTTCTACTCCTCCAAACACTACTCGTCCTACAAGGACAATTACCAGCCCAAAACAACTGCTAGTGAGCAACACTAACAATTCAGACCCACAGCAATGTCCCCACACTGAGCTCCTATTGATAGACGCTGAGTTCTATTCAGAATGATAACTAAGTTTCCTCTATTTCATATATATTAACTTTATTAGCCAAATTACGTTTTTATTGGTAAACTCAAAATAACGATGTTCCTCAAACTGAATGTGTTTTGCCATAGTAGGACCTCATCACTGCTTAGGATTACTCCACATAAATTATCACAGACACTGAAATTCTCCCCTCCGATCACTATCTTCTGTTCTCCTACCTCCTCTGCTCTTTCTTAGTGAATGCATCCTTTTCCAACTTCATCAACTCTGCTATCAGGATCCCTTATTTACCACCACAGCTTCATCTTCCCCACTCCTAACCATTCACCATCAGCAAACATTTACTGAGGGCTTACTATGTGTCAGGCATTCTGCTACATGATGAAGATACAAAAATGACACCGTCTAATAAAGACAAACACATAAGGAAATCATTGCAGTACAATACGATTGGGGCTACAATATAGCTACATACAAATTAAAGCGGTGGCAAAGGATGAACAGAACCTCCTGGAAGGGTCAGGAACAGTTTCCTAGAATGATGAATGGAATGAAATGAGCCAGCTTTGGAAGCAAGAGAAGGAACATGGCTGGAGATAAGAAAAGAAGAACCAGTCAGAAGGAAGTCTGTGGACAGGCACAGTGAAATGAAACAGGATAACGCCTCAGGGAACTGCAGGTAACTCAGAAGAGCCAGTGCCAACCACCGGAGAAAGCAGCCAGCACTGAGCTGGAGGAGCAGACAGAGGCCTGGTCACAGCAGGTCGTCCATGCCATGTAAGAGTTGAAGTGGAGGGCCGGCCCTGTGGCTTAGCGGTTAAGTCCGCGTGCTCCGCTACTGGCGGCCCGGGTTCGGATCCCGGGCACGCACCGGCGCACCGCTCTCTGGCCATACTGAGGCCACGTCCCACATACAGCAACTAGGAGGATGTGCACTATGACATACAACTATCTACTGGGGCTTTGGGGAAAAAAAAGGAGGAGGATTGGCAATAGATGTTAGCTCAGAGCCGCTCTTCCTCAGCAAAAAGAGGAGGATTAGCATGGATGTTAGCTCAGGGCTGATCTTCCTCACAAAAAAAAAAAAAAAGAGTTGAAGTGGAGAGTCACTAAATTCTTCTAGGGAAGTGAACAATGGGTTCAATTTTGTGCTTTACAAAGATCTCTCAGATAGCAGGGCTGAAGATGGATTGGATAGAAATGAGAATAGAGACAGAGAGAATAATTAAAAGGTAACTGTCTACACAAGAGGTGATGAGGTTATTATGCCTTAACGTGATATAAGAAGGGTGAGGAGTGGGTAGATTCTAGATATATTTAGGGAGATGGAATCAAGGAGGAGTGAACAAATAGATACTAAACTGGACAGTAAAAGGGGTCTTGAAAGACTCAAATTTCCAGGCTGAGGAACTTTGTGGCTGCCATGAATTGTGGCAAGAATATTGAGGGAGAGCAAAAGGAAGAACAAGTTTGAGGTAACAGGATACTGAGTTTGGTTACCTCTGAGTTTGAGGTGCATGTGAGGGATATTCTAGTGATAGAACCTAGCTAAAGCCCTGTAGCTATGTAATTCTGAAGCCAAGCAGAGTGATCTTGATTATACACATAATTTTAGAATTATCCAGCAATTACAACTAAGAGGAGGCTGCCCAGGGAGCACATATAGAGTGGGATGAAAAGACAGTCTCAGACAGAATCCTTGAGGGCAATAAGGGGATTATTAACGGCTCAGGAGAAAAACGAGAGAGAGTAAAAGAGACCAGAAGTGAGGAGCAGAGAAGTAGGAGGAGGACAGTAAAGGCAGCATCATGGAATGTAAATTAGCAAGAGCTTTAAAGAGAAGGGAGTGGTGAGCGGTACTGCCTTACCTCGGACTCTTCCTGTAGCCGCAGACAATTATCCAGGAAGAGAAGCGATCGGTCAACAGACTTCCTGGCTCTTTTTATGGAAGATGCTTCCGCACAAGATGCCTCTCCATCTGAGAGGCACTGGAACCAGTCGGGCTGAAGGGCCTGCTGGATTGCCATGAACTTGGAAACAGTCATTTCCACTCGTCCTCCAACACCCCACACAGACACAGACTGCCATGGAACAAGACGATGAGGAATTAGCGAGAGTAAAGTGCGAATAAAAACAAAATAAAATGATACAGCAATTCTGAATTGAATTCTTCTTTATAACTGGAGAGATGGTGGTATTCAATATCCTAGCTATGGTGGGTAAAATAGGTGTCCTATACAATTTCTAAATTCTCTAAGGACCTTATAGCTCATGGAGAATCCTTCAAAGGCCATACAAGCCCACTTCTGAGCTGGCACCCAAGAATTCTTGGTTATACTTTCTAGAAGCCCAGTCTTCCATTCTCACCCATGCTGTTCCTGAATACACCACAGACCCTGATTATTCTGCCTTTGATCACATTGTTCCTTTCGACTGAAATGCCCTTCCCCAACTTCTTTGCCGGGTAAAATACTATGCATCCTTCAAGATGGAGAGTTCAAACATCATCTCTAACGTGTTCCCCAAACTTTCCTAGGCATAGTCGTTCACTCACTCTTCTAAGCTCCTCCAGCAATTTGTACTTTTTCTCTTATAGAAAAGATAGCCCATAGCACAGCATTGTAGATTTGTCTGACGAGGGTATCCCAGTCCACATTTGTGCCCCAAAGGCACAGTCTAGGGCCTCACACATTATTAATGTTTAATAAGTGTTTATTAGGTTGAGTTAGAAACAGAATTATGTGCAAAGACACAAATTCCACAGTACACGAGAAACTCTGTATGTTCCTTCGGTTCCTCCTTCCCCTACAGCATCTCTCTTCTTGGAAGAGATCGACAAGGATGTAGAGGGGAGGCTACATACAGTTCTTTTATTCTGGCATAACAACGCTGTTTAAATGAATCCTCTCTCCCTTATAAACGGGGTAGATAACTGAGGTCAGATATTTTCTTTTGAATTCAGATTACAAAATAAAAAGAAGTTTAAAGCAGAAGAATGATTTAAAAGTTACCTTAAGCAAGATTAGTGGATATTGTTGACAACAGTCAAGCGGGTGCAGGGAATGCAGCTGCGTCTGTAAAGCAGCAGTACAGACTGAAGTCTCGCCAGAAGGCTGTCCCCCGGGGACAACGCAAGGGGCCACATCTCAGGTGAAAATTCTAATGAAGTCCTTTTGAGACCGTTCTTCACTAGCTAAAACCTCTGGCTTTTTCAAATTCTGTTCTAAAAGCAAGCAGTATGATGCTGAGGTTCTATGATATATAGTTATCCGCGTGATAACACTCATCAGCAACCTTCTCTACTCTTCCTGAGCTTCTCAGAACCGCAAATAAAGTGTGGCATCAAAAGACCAGTGTTTTCTACCATCATAGCAATTGTTTTTTTTTGGCATGTACCTGACCCTTCTCTACTCCCAAATTTTTGTGACAGTGAAAAAGCTGAGGACACATTTCTCACCTTAACGGCATCCTCAGGCAGCCCTACTCTAATTCCTATAAACCACCCCATCCCACTATACTCACAGAAATAAAGAGAAGGCATGAGGGGTCAGGAATGGGCTAGCATCCCAGGCAGTGGGATCCTAGCATCTGAGGGATACAGACTGACTTCCTGGAACAAAGCTGCAGCCTTGGAGGACCTTCTGTGAACGCACCTTGTTAGTCACATAGCCAGCTGGGCAGGGGCTGACTGGATCATGCAGGGCGCAGTACAAGAGCGATTCTGGCATGCCTGTGTAAACATAAAAAGAACCTCTGAAAGCAGTGACATCGACAACTACACTGTGCTGCAACAGAGAGCAGCTCCTAACGGGTACTGCTGGATAAAGCAACTCGGAACACAGTAAACGGCTCATACCTGATCTTAGAATTACAGGAGCCTGTCAACGTGAATGAAAAGACTACTTTGAAACTTACTAATCTAAAAGAAGAATTAAATGCAAAGTTCATGTCTAATGACATAGTGGGTTGCTACAAAGGAAAGATGTATCTTAGGGCCGGCCCCATGGCTTAGCGGTTAAGTGCACGCGCTCCGCTGCTGGCGGCCCGGGTTCGGATCCCGGGCGTGCACCAACGCACCGCTTCTCCGGCCATGCTGAGGCCGAGTCCCACATGCAGCAACTAAAAGGATGTGCAACTATGACATACAACTATCTACGGGGGCTTTGGGGGAAAAAAATAAATAAATAAAAAAATTAAAAAAAAAAAAAAAAAGATGTATCTTAAAGTATGAGATATAATTAAAGTGTTTAATGACATACTGACCCTACTTGATCTGCTTTGAAGAAGAATCTAATATCGAATATGTTCATTCTAGGTACCATCCAAGGAGAATTAGCTACTGGAAAGATGAAATGATGTGGTCAAAAGGTAATCTCATTAATAATAAAGCCATCCCACAGCATGGGTCCCTAGGGGCAGAATTACAGTAGGATACTGCAATGGACCTCATCTTCAGTAAGTTTCATTGATTCAAGACGACAGTTTCTTAGGTTCTTTAGTCAAAAAGATAGTCGTTTTAAAAGAAAAAAATCCAAAAAAATGTTTAGTAAACCATATGTGCTTAAATTTCATATGCTATCCTGCATTTTCATAAGAAAAAAAAATATGGTTTCACTGAAAAAAACACCTAAAAAAAGCAAATTAAAAAAAAAAAAAAAAACTCTACAGTTCTCCACCTTACTTTCCACAATTTCAATTAGTACAATTATCTCCAGAAAGCTTATATTAGCTATGTTCACCTAATTATATACTTGTATACTTTAAAGCTGGTTATTAAAATTGGTCTCAGATCAAGGAAAACGATATTATATAAATTCCTCCACTGAAATACAGGGCCTGTGACAATGAAGTCACTATGCAGCTTCCCTCAGAAGCAGCGGACTAACTAACCAAGGGAAACAGAATTTTCATTCACTGAAGTGAATCCTAGATATTGGGAAAAGCTTCAGGAGAGAGTGGGCTACAGAAGAATTGGCCTCTAGCTATCACTGCTAAGCTTTTCCTATAAATAAATGGACATGTACAACTACATTTAAAATCCTATTTCTAGAACAAAAGATATAACACATCAGAATATGGCTGTATATAAATTCTTCATCTTCTCTCTTATGTGTTGGGCTCAAACATGACAAGACGGCCTTGGATCTTAGCTACAGCCCATGCAGTTTCTCACCACTGGGTCTCCGCTCCATGCCTGGAGTGTCTACCCACACCCGTCTACCACCACCACTGCACGTACCTCCTGACCTGGCTAACTCCTACTCTTCCTTGACCCAGCTAAGGGGCCCCCTCGAGAACACTTTCTTTGCTCTGACCTCCTTCCGCAAGTGCCCTACAACAGGTCACGTGCTCCTCCCTCTGGTTCTCATGACACACGTACACATCCCTAATCCTGCAAATACAGTCACCACACTCCACTAAAGTCACCTGTTTCTCTTTATCCCAGCTAGGCTCTGAGTTCCATGAGGGCAGCAATCGTTTCCTACTCATCTTTGAATCCCCAATGCCTGGTTCTTAGATACCCAATAAATGCTTATTAAATTAATAGATACGTAAATGTATGAATGAAAGATCAAAGAACAAACAGCACTTCCAAACTCCAAATTAATACATCACAAGGCAGACACAAACAACAATTTTTACCTATAAACTTTCCTACTCCTTCCTTATATTCTGCCAAAACTTCATGATGTTCTGCCCTGTAAGCAAACAGAAAAATAAGTAACATAATAACGAATCATTCTACAGATACTCCATACAACAAGTGAAGCCAACTCTTCTCCTCCCCCAAACAAGCCACATGACAATAAACATAGTCTTGAACAACAAAGCACACCATTATTCGAGTCCCAACTCACTAGGCTAGGTTCATTAGCCAGAGTAAAGGTCTTCAATTTGCAAGTGGTTCTGTGAGAAGAGAAACTGGCAAAGATCAACTGGATTTTCTTCTTCCCCTTGCCCCTTTAAAATCACTGTTATTAACACAATACTGCAGAGTTATTTGATCAGAGAGCATGTTCTTCAATTAACAATAAAGTGGTACGTACATTACACAAAATGATCTGACTCCATTGGTTGTTTCCATAAAGTAGTACTAGCAAGTAGATGTGCAGAGACAGAGAAGACTTTGAGGCTAGTGCATGAAGACAGCCCGCAGGCTTCAAGTTTAGCTCTCCTGGAGGACTCCCTGCCCTGTCACCCTGGGAGCAGTGGCATTGAGTGCGGTATGGGACCGTAGGTTCAGAGGAAAAGTGAAGCAGCTCTAACATGCAGGTCTGGCCCATGGCTTCCAGATTAGGGCCAGATGATGTATAATATTTGATAGCTCTCTTCTGATTTCATCCTAAAAATCTATAAATTTTGCATATATAAGCAAAAAAGTCTTTCCTTTTACTGCACCTTATCAAGGTAACTAAGCTGCTGCCAGAGATGACACTTGAATGGTCGGGTCTAATACTTACAGTGATGACAGTGTAAGCTGAGCCATGGCGGGAACCCCGTGGATGTTATGCAGTGTGTGATGGGTCAGGTGGGGGGCAGAGCCAGTCTTGGTGTACAGAAGGCAGCCTGGAATGTCCATGGTACGGTCTCCTGTTTTGCCTAGGTTTTTTATTTTTCCTAGGCGACAGCCATTAACTACCGTGGTCAGACTCAGCTTCATCCTAAGGGATTGCTCTAGGTCCTAATAAGGAAAGAGCATTAAATTCAGGAGTTCCATGACACCTAAAGGCTAAACATTTTGCAAAGAAAGCAACCTACAAAAAAATAAATGATAGCATGTTTATTAATACTTTCAGTCTAGGATTTTCTTAGATATCAGGAATAGGAAATGGGAAAAGACAAAGAGAGAATAAGACACCTTCCCTAAAGTCCCAGAGCAATAAGATGACATCGACCACATTTAAATTCAGGCATGGAATTTTTGTCTGAGCTGATGAAAAGCAAACAAATGGAAGGACTGAAGTAAAGACCAGGCGTGAAAAGAGTGCTATGAAGCCAATGCTCACTCTCAGCCTTGAAAATGTGTATAGAGAAAGGCCACACTGCCCAGGAAATACTAATTACTGATTTGATCCATTTTTTCTTTCTCTAATTTGAGAGAATACTTGGCAACACAGCAATTTTTCCTAATACATAGTTAAATGAAGAAAACAGGTTCTAAACCAGCATTCTGATGTTTATCAAAATACATGGAAGAATATACATCAAAAGAGAAACAGACATTATCTCTGAGAGGTGGGATTATTTTCCAATTTGTTCTTATAGTGTGTCCAAACAGAGGTGAGAAACTGTGCGGAGCATACAGGTAATTCATAAGCAATTTAGCATTACTTTAATAACTGGGAAGGGAAAGTATTTGATAAAAGAAAAAAAATCAAGATATACTTTCTAACTTCCATAGATACACAGGGAAAAAAAATCAGAAAACATTATCAATTACTTTGTTGGATGCCATTAATTAATTATTATCAGTGAAGCAAATCCTGGGCCCCACTTCTTAAAATGTACTACAAAACTTGGTAACCAGGCATGGTGGATAATTTGCAAAATGTCACTGGATATACCAGTCACTGGATATACAAATACCAGTATCTCTACAGCAAGCACCATACCCTCCGGAATCCTTGCCAATTGGGCCAGGTCCAGTTTTATTAATAGACAAATTATTACAGCTCTCCAAGAGGCTCCAACCTCAGATCCTATCCTCTTCAGCATTATACTCTACCACACTCTCAAAGTCAACCACTATTTAAGATGCTCCCAAACAAAGAAGCATTTTCTATCATTAGTTAAAAAATATTCAGGAACGTGAATATTACTTTTTCGGGAGTCACAAACTCTTACATTGAAATGAAATAGTCAATACGTCTTTAGAATTTTAGAAATAAGAATAACTACTTTCTATATGGTCCAATAAGAGATTTCATGTTAAATATGAACTATAAAAAAATAGTATAAATGTTTGAGGAAAGCCTGGTCAATTTTCTATGACTCTAACTTCATTATCTCAAGTCATCGCAAAGAAAGACATAAAAACAAGTGTCACTGGAACCCACAGAAATGGAGACTATTAAGGGAAAAAAGTTATGTTTTAACAAAGAGTAATATAAAAGCTATTTTTTAAAAAAGCTTTGTTATGACACATTGAAACTGTTAAAATAAAAGAAGAAAGTTTATACCAAAAAAATATACAAATATAGTTACAGGCTAATAAGAATGTACTCTAGAAAATACGAGTCATTAGTTTACACAATCATATTCCTTATTGATTTATCAGATAATACACATAACCTTCTGATTTCAAGTGATAAAAATATATTTTAAACTAACAGAGCTCTGAAGCCACTTGCAGCAAAGTCAAAGACTGCACTTTGCAATCTAAGAAAGTTCCAGGGAACCGAAGCGAGGGGAAGCACAAAGAAGAGAAACGCACTTTAAAGTTAATGAATCAACACTTGTTATTCTGACTCAATAGTGAAATCAACCAAATATGGAACAACAGGTTTTTGAAACACAAATAAGAACTAATGAAAATGTAATGGACCAGGATTATCAAACACTGCAATAACTTAGGCACTTCTTACCTCACACACATCTCCAAAAGGAAGAAACTGGATTGTCTGGAATTTTTTCAGAAAGAGCTTGAGACAAGAATTTGCTGGTTCCTCCTCTTACTCCAGAAATTCTGTCTCACCTGAGCTGTTTAAGTTTTGTAAGGAGTTTAAACACACACATGAGCTGTATTTTTTTTAATTCAATTCATATAAAGGTAGAAAGAGCCTTCATAGGATAAAACTAGTATGTTTGAAAAACGAAGTTTAGGATTCTAGAATGCTACTAATTTTTATTATCTCTCCCCATCAAACCCATGTTTTCATTTTTCCAGTTTATTAATAAATAACATAAAAGATTGACAATCAAAGCTTCTGATGAGCATGAGATAATCTGCTTTTCCATGCTAAGTTAACTCAATTCCAGGTAAAAACAGCAAACCCCAATGCTTTAGCCAACCTCTGTTTAACCCAGGTAATGTATGACTGCCGTTAGACTTTAGAAATGCTGAAAAGAGTTGAGTCTGACCATTGCTACCAGAGACTCCAACCTGAGAACTTCTCGTGAACATCATCCTCCTCTCTGCCATTTTACAACAACGAATCTGAGGCTAAGCAAGAGTAATCATTGACAGTCTAAAACCCAGGTCTCCTGCCAAGAGGCCTGTGCGTTTTTTATTACATCTTTTAAGTGATAATAATACAATGTTTGTGTATGTGTATCTCCTCTTCCCACTCTTTCCTCAAGTGAAGAAATAGAATTCTTCATTTTTGACCCAAGGTCTTTCATTACAGGTCCTTGGCATCTCTAGAGGACATCAGCCACCATGTTCTTAGATGCAGTGATGGGTTCTCCTGTGACACAGTGCACAAAAAAAGTTTAATCTCCATACCTTTAAAGATGAAATTCAGAATCCTCAGCTCAGTACAGGTATACTGACCCCACTAGATCAGCTGGAGAGAAATGCCCACCTGACTCTCTCCACAGTGGAGGACTCTGATGCTATGTACCCACATTCTGCTGTTGGGGGCTTCTTAAGAGTCCCACCCTAATCACGGTAAATTGACACGTCACCAAAGGAAAAAGTAAGCAAGGAAAAGTAGATGACTGTGTTTAAGAAAAAGTATAATGGATAAATTGCTATTGTCAGTGATTCTCTGTATTGTGGGGATAAATATAAACATTAAGAAATCTGAGGAAAGCATCAGAGAATGCACTTTGGCTGGAAATCAACATTAAAAAAAATAACATGCAACTTTGTCCAGAGCTAGAAGAACCAAGCTTTCCTTTCTCCATTACTGTTCAGTTTATGGTTAATGTTTTTATAATTGCACCTTTTTTCTAGGGGCTCAAATACAGAAGTTTTTATTATGAAGTAATGTAAATATAATACACACACATACACATCTTCATGTACATATTTTTTAAAACATGCTTTGGGAGTGATATAATCTGCTAATGCAAGCAAAGTTCTCAAGAAACAAATCAACAGTCTCTAAAATATCAACTGGCTTTTATCTGCCTTCATCACCACCTGTTCTCCTTTCACTTGTGAGTCGCTTCTAAGGTTTCTGGTGTTGTCTTTTTCTAAATACACATTCACACTTCACTTCTATAAAACTTCTGGGAAAGTTTTAAGGAAAAACCATTAGAAAAGCCATTTGGAAATGAATGGGTAATGGAAAAACCTTTATCACTTTAAGGACAAGTGACAGGCCATCAGTGGATTTGTGCCTTTATAAGGGCTAACCTTGGCAGCACTGTACCCGTCCTAACACCTCCAGTGCCACACATTTCTTCCCCCATCCTCCAACTATTCCCTCGAGAGAGAAGGGATTTTTAGATGGATTCTCTACAGACCATCATGGAAAGATGACCACAATATGCTAAAGGAAAAGAGCAAGCTTAGGTGAATATATTTTCTGTGAAAGAAAAACTGTATGTGTATATTTATAAATACACACACACTCTACAATATTTGTATATACATAGAAAAAAGTCTGAGGGACTTCTAAACAATATGGTGCACTGAGCTGACTCAGAAAGACACATAGAAATGATGGACTCTAAAATTCCAGAAAACAGTAACAGAAGATGAGAAGGAGACTATTCGAAGGCAGAGTGTTCTAAAATCCTTACACTATTTGGGAGGAGGAGAGAGATAACGAATAATGTCAAACTTTGTTAAGTATGTGTGTTAAAAGTTTTAAAGTATCCATTAAAAAATTAATGACAGAATGCATAATTCCCAAACCCGTTGGGGAGCAGTGGAGAAGGATAAAGAAAAATTGGTTAACACAATAAAAGGCAAGAGAGAAAAAGACACCAAAAAGCATGCCGAAAATAGAAAATACAAAATAAGACGGTAGAAGTAAGTCCAGATATGTCAGTAACCACAATAAAAGTTAACAAATTAATTTCACTATTTAAAGACATAACGACAACAGTAGCAACTAACATTCATTGGGCATTTACTATGAATCAAGTACTGTTCTTTACATATTAACTCTGCTAATACGTATCATCATATCAACCTCATAAGACACATGCTATTATTATGTGCATTTTACACATGAGAAAACTGAGGCTAATAAAGTCACCAGTTGAGAAGTGGCAGAGCTAGGACTTAAATCACAGAAGTGTGGCTTTAGAGGCTATATTCCAATAGGCTAGTAGCCTGTTAGAAGTCCCATCTTGTCTATAAGCATATGCAATGTTAACATAATAACTGTAATGTTAAGATATAATTTTAGTCATATTTTCCATTTTGCTATAATGTTCTTATTATTTTTCTTGTTTTCCCTTATCTCCCTCTCTGCCTCTATCCATCCTCCCAGCCTCTACAACCTTTCTCCATACTCATACAAACATTTAAACACACCAGTATATGGGAAGAGGTGTTTTTTACAAAAAATGTAAACATACTACGCTGAATGCACATCTCTGCAATTTGCTTTTCTCCCAGGAATACACAATAGATATCTTTCCTGAAGAAGAGACACAGAGCTAATTTACCCTTTTAAAATAACTACTTTACCATACTGCATAGTTTGGATGTAACACACAATTTACTCAACCATCACCCTGCTGACGGACACTCAGGGTTACAGAGCCAGTTCTATAATCTCTGCAATAGTCTGAGGGCAGGGCTTCCCTGATCTCATTTTCACCAATCTCAAATCTACTTTAGTTTACGTTTCCTGGCAGAGATCTATACATACATTGATTTTTCATCGTTACAACACTCCAATGATTTAGTTACTATCGCCCCCATTTTGCAGAGAGTTATTAAACAAGGTGCCTAAGGTCCTACAGCCACAAAGTTGCTGGGTCCAAAGCTCCCGCTCTAAATCTCTACCCTGCCTTTTGAACGCATGTATTCCAGAATGGACTGACCCGGCAACATCTAGGTTCAGTCAATAGGGATGGATTTATCTTCACTCCATGGACCATCTCCAGGGATTTATCTTCACTCCATGGACCATCTCCAGGGACCCCAGACCCGCGTAGCCCAGGTATCAGAGATCGTCCCAACCCTCCCTAGAATTCTGGCAGTCCTGAAAACACTTCCGGCTCAGAACTTGACCCTTGAGCAGAGGCCAGGCGAAAGGAAGCCCTCTTCTCTCAGAGATGCGGTGAAGCCCCCATGATTTGGGCGAATCTAGACTTACAGAAGCCAAGATCCACCAGGATAGCCAGAAAAAGGAAAGAGAGACACGGCAGGACTACAATGACAGTTACTGCAACACAGTCAGGAAGCGTCTGGGCGCGACGCGATTCATCCACCCCGAGCAGCCCCCACACCATCAGGGAAAGGGGGCACTTGCCTGCAAACCTCTCACCTTTTTCGCCTTGCGACCCCTTAAACTCCTCGGCGTTCGCTACCACGTGTCCGGCTAGCGGAAATCTCGACCCCTAAACCACCGCTTCGGATGCAGAGCCAATCAGGGAGCACTGCGTCATCACCGGGCGCCGGCGAAAAGCAAAGGTAATATCAAAGCGAGCGCTGGTGACCGCGAGGTCGAGGGACCGCTGCTGTTGCCATGGGTAACTGAGCTAACGCGTACCGCCTGCGCAAAGCCTCCTGGGAGTGGTGGTTCTGCGGCGCCCCATACCTGCCTTCCTTGCGGGCGGAGGAACTACAACTCCCAGGGAGAGCCGGAAGCAGCCTGGGGAAAGGAGGGGTTGTTCCAGCTTTGGCCGAGGTCCGGGCCTGAACCTGGAAAATGCTGCCGGCGCGCCAGGAGAGGTCCTCCTCCAGGAAGAGGACCGGGCTGAGTCGCTGGAAACAGTTTACAAGGAAGCCGAGTCCCAAGGTGATGCGTCCCAATCGCGAGCTCTGGGAGGCCCGATGCCCGCCGCAGCCAAGCCTGCGCTTCCTCCCTCTTCCCCAAGGGCATCCTCACCTGGCCGGCCCGTGCCTGGGGCCCCCCAGAGCCAGCATTGGAAGGGGGCCTCGAAACCTTCGGGTCTGGGTACCTTACGGCTTTGGTGGGCAGCATCGTGGAAGAACTGTTTCTACCTAACGTTTTTCTCAATCCGGAGAGATCTGGTATTTCCCATCCCGGTGAAGAGAATTTGCGAACTACCCCCCTTTCCCACCCTACCCTCCTGTTTTAGGGAAGTTCCGGCACATTTCGGTTTTTTTTTTTTTTTTATGTTTTGCAAATCATAAGGAACTGATCTTTATTGGAGGGGAAGATCTTCACGTTAAGTCCTTTGCCTCATACCCTCCCCTTCTAGTTTTACATAAAGTATCTAAAATGAACTCAGGAATGCAAGTGGGTATTGAATATATCAATATTTGATTCACTTGAAAATCTCTAAATTCCACCAACATTCAAAAAATAGCTCCTCTTCATATTTGTTACCTCTTTTGATGCATTAGCATCCCAAGACAGGGAAAACTGATAACCCCATTTTCAACTTGAACCATATGTAAATGACATGTGCAAAGTCACGGTCACACGGTGTGTGCTTTCCACAGACTACCTTTTTAACAGTCACCAAAATAAATGCTTTAAATGTAAGTGCGCACCAAAATGGAGCGGCTTCTCAGCTTTCAGCTCCAGAGCCGTTTCACCAGCTGTTTTCACCCTTAAGTTACATTCTCAAAAAAATAGTCTACAGACATGTGGCCTTTCTGAGGGCCCTAGGCAATTGTGCTCCCAGTTTATTCTAAATATACCAGCTAGATAATGCACTGGACATATTCCACTTGGTGAATATCTTTCCCCAGTAATGGAGGGTGCATACTGGAACAGGGGAGAGACTTGGAAACAAGAGTCCGCTCCTGTTGTAACGTACCAGTTCTATAATGGATTGGATCCAAAATAGGTTATGAGTGTAGACTTGATGATGAAAGGTAAAAATTTGGGACAACTTCTTAGGACTCCAAAAGGAAAGATTTTTGCTGCTGGTGCTCATTGTTATTGCCTAGGGGATGCAAAGGTGAAAACACAAGAGCTCCTTGAAGTTCAGTTGTGTTTTTCTAGGATCAGCTCTTTCTTTGTTGCAATGACAAAATTACTCAGCAGTACAGCTGCATTAATTAGTTATCTGTAAGGTGCTTTGAAGGGGAAGTGTTATGTAAGTGAAAGAGTATTATATCTTCCTCTCCTCCATGTGTCAGTATGCTAGTTAGATATTCCCTTATTTATTTAAAAACTCATCTGAATTATTAGCAAAGCAAATACCTGGATTTGTTGAGTGACTATTGGAGGGAATTCTGCAAGCTTCTGAGAGTTACGGAGAGTGAAGAGAGGAGGTGTCCTACTGGTCTGGTTTCTAATTTCAGATTAGTCTCTGGCTGACCTGCGTAGAAATTTATGTGATTTCTACCTCATTTTCTGCTTTGTAAAACAGTAAAAGTTTGATTATCCCTTACCCCACCACCCAGTTCTTATTGGACCAAACAATATCCCTGCTCTAGGTAATGAAAGCCTCTTGCTACAGGTTACTACTGCTTTTCCAAGCAGATTTGCTTCTACGACACTTGAATAATCTGGCTAGTTAATCAGTGCTTGTTTGGGTTTTTATAAGGAGTATTATATCTAGCATTCCTCTCCCTTGGCTCTTAATCCTGGGGAGCTTTGAAAAAATACTGATGCCTAGGCCCTACTGCAGACCAGTTAAATCAGAATCTCCAGGTGGGTCTAGGTAAGAGAGAAAACCAGTCAGAGGATGTCCCCCAGGAGCCTTCATGTTTCTTCCTCCTGCCATCGTTCTTTGTTCTTTTGTTGCTGAACTTTCTAATGAAATGCTTTGGGGAAAGAATAAAGGACACTTTTCCATGTGCTTTAGTCAGAAGGACTGATTAAAATGGCAAAGTTGACAAAGATATTTCTGTGTATTAATATTCTGTATATATTATCCACAGCCTACTTTTGACGCTGACAATGTGGAACACTGGATTAAGGTAAGGATATTTCACAATTAAGATAGAAAGAGAATTAAGAGTCAGACACAATCAGATGGAAAAGGAGTACTAATAGGTTTCCATTTTGCACATATTTTGCTATTTTTGTTCCTATGTGACTATATATGTTGCCTTAGTTTTATACTCTACTATTTTTTTCATGGTTTTGTTGCTTCTCGTGAGAGTATGAATGACAAGAAGACAGGTGTAGACATGCCCTTTCGATTGCCATGAGGATCACATGAAGAGGATTAAAGGAGGAGGGGAGGAAAAGCCTTAGGAGAGGACCCTGTGGCCTTCCTCAGATAATTGGAAAGACTGTACTCTAGTTGCATTGACCTGTGGGACCAATGCAATAGGTCAAAGCTATGCATGCATCAAGAGTAAGAATTTTCTATTGACTAGAGCAATCCAGAAATGGAGCGGGCATTCTCATAAAGAAATGTGTTTTCTGTCGCTGAAGGTATTCAAGTGGATTCTAAATGGTCCCTTAATGTTAGGGCTAGTGAGGAATATGTTTGAGCATTCAATGAGAGGGGGATTGGGTTAGATAACCTCTGAGATCTCTTCCAGGCCTGAGATGTATATTTTTGAATCCAAGTACCATTTAAGTTGAAAATGCTGTTAAACCACTTCGAGTGCATGCCTCTGAGTGTCAATTTGGCCACTTGCCATACTCGTTTGTGCACCACATGTTTCAAAATCATGCAGCATTTTCCTGGGAAAATATCCTTTTGCCTGGTAGTATTTTGAAGAGGTCTTACCTACCTAAGTTGACAGCACCAGGCCAGATGGAACCTAGGCAGGATGTAATAATTGTTAACCATTTATTTAGCCAGCCTGTGTTTATTAAGTGCCTACTAAGTACTAGCCTACTATGTTGGGCACTGAAGATAAAACAGTGCAGGGGCGGGTACAGTCCCTGCCTTCACAGAGTTCGTAGTCCATTGGGGGTTAAACAGCTTACTTAAAGCTGATGGGAGCATTAATGGTCTACTGGAAGCATGTGGTGGAGGGCAGTAATATAGATGGGGCCACGGAAGGCTTCCTGGCTCCTGCAGAAGGCCTGACTTAGAAGACGACTACTATGGATCACCGACTTGGAGGCTAGCCTCTGAGAAGCCCACCCTTCAGCCTCCATTAAGTCTAACTTACCTGCCAGTGTGGAGAGACCCTGTGCCACACCCCTGCGGGGCTTAGGTGCACATTTAGTACCGTCTCTTCCAGAGGGGAAGATTGAAGTAAAACAGAAGGATAAAATTCTGCCCTGATTTGTCTGCACCATTTTCCTCTCTCATGCAGTTGTCAGTTGTCTTGACTCAGATTTTTATCGTTGCTCTAAAATTTCTACAGTAGCTCTTTCTCCATTATACCTTCAAATCTCCCCTGTCGTGAAGAAAGTCAGTAAGTCCTCATTTGACCCTGCAGTCCATTCTGATTGCCGTACAGTTTCTTCTTATCCAACATCTTTGGATGTATAATCTGGACTCCTTGCCTTTGTATTTTTATTGTCCTCTCGTGTCCACAGTTATTTTCCTCCAGTTTCTATTTCTTACCACTCCACAGAAACTGTTGTCATAAATGACTTCCTGACCAAATCCAGTGGTCTCTTCTTCATCCTCAAACTTTTTAAGGTTAGTTTGATATAGTTATCACTTTTTTAATCTAGAAATCCTCTCCCCCATTGTCTTTTTATAACACTGTTTTCTCTTGCTTCTCCTACTACCTCTCTGTTCACTTCTCTGTCTTCTTTTCTGAGTTTGCTCCCTAATATTTCCCATCTTTGGGTGCCCTAAACAGTTATAACCTCTGGACCTAAGACTTCCAAATCCACTTGCGTGGACCACCCTCTCCAAATCAGCTACGACCTTGTTAAGGGAAGAGGGAGGAGGCATGTGGAAAGGCTGTGGAGATGATGAGGGTGGAGGAGGGTCTTTCTTCAGAACAGAAAAGGAAGATCAGCCAGCAGCACTCGAGACTTGGCTGGAGCAGGTAACCATAATTTTTGTGGTACCAAAATTGGTAGATCGATGGAGCCAGGCTTGAAGGTTTTCGTTGAAAAGGCAAAGGAACAAGAGATTTGAGGCTCATGTAAGATAGTAGCTGAGTATCCATGCAGAGTAGGAAAGGAAGGGTCCCTTGCCAGGACTCGTAGATGGGGAGAAGGAGGAGGCATTTGGTGACCAGAGGGCTTGGTTAGGTGCAACGCCAATGTAGTGGAGCAGGGGAATGAAAGGGGAGATAGGTAGGAGGCTGATGTTGCAAAGGGGATTCGTTATCAGCATTTGGTTTGAACAATGGAAAATTCTGTGTGATCTGGTTCATGATGCCCGTGTCATGAGTTGCTGAAGTGCAGATGAAGGGAAGTCTGTTGGCATATGGGAGATCAGGCAAACCTTGAGGCTGAAGTGTTGGTGAGTCATCCTCAGGGATGCTGAAGTCACTTAGAATCAGACAGGTCCTTGGTAGAACCATGAGTCCTGGGGCAGCTCACCCAAAATGCGACAGTCCACCACAATTTACGGTTCATCCTCATCCTGAGTTGATAAACTGACTTATCTTCTTACTCCAGTGCTTTCTGCTGCTTTGAGCTTTCTAAACATTTTCATCATGTCAGTTCTCTGCTCTTGAACTTTCAGTGATTCTGCATGCCATCAGATGAAACTCTGTAAATTCCAGATGGGCATTTAAGGCCCTCTGTTAAGCTACGTGTAATATCAGTCCACCTGTAACAGACCTTTTACTGATACTCTGTGACTCCTGTCCGGCCAGTCTCCTTCCCCTCCATCAGATCAGTCTTCCCTTTGCTTTGACTCATGTTGATTCCCCAGCCTAGAATACCCTTCCTCTCTGGGAGGCCAATCCAGATCCTTCCCTTAAAGCTCAGCTTGGGATGTGCCTCTCAGGGAACAGCCCCCCCACCCACCTCAACCATCTAATCCTGTCTTCTAATACTCTTCTCCTTGGAACTGTTTTGGCCTTCATGCACAACAGATACAGGATCAAGCATTTGCTTATATACAGAGTGATTTAAAAAGAATAGAGCACTTTCAAAAATATATTACTCACAAAACTATCATGTATGAGCATGCACTCTGCACCTGAGAGTATGTCAAGAAACTCACGTTTATACCTCCCAGCCTTGAGGAAATGAAGGAGTGCATTGTAGCTGCTGTTTCTGCCGTCGAGTGGACAGTGGGGTTGGTGTGTGCTGTGGGACGTGAGGAGCCTGTATTGAGCATTTATAAGATGATGGAAATAACTGAGATAATTTCAAATTGTATACTTGTATATAACATAGTTACTGAGTAATGGACTTTTGAAGGTATTCAGTTTTTTTAATCACCCCATATTATTTTAGAACTGTTCTTGAGTTATTACACACGTGGCATATGAAACAAACAAAAAAAACTAAACTCTTTTAGAACAGAAGCTTTTACTTCTGTTTTCTCCTTAATGCCCACTACAGTGCTGGGAACAGAGCTAGCTTTCAGTCAAGTTGCTTGAAGAATAAGTTGTTAAGTCAACACAATGTTTCTTTTATTGAAATATAATTTAAGGTAGACATCTCTTATCTCTTACGTATTTATTTTGAAAAAATATGGTAAGGATGTAATATTTTACAACAAGGAAGTACAGAGGTGATTTCTAATCCTTAGTATCACCTACTATTTTTTTTCCAAAGTCTTTAAATGGTATCCCAAATATTTGCTTTGCTAGAGGCAAGCAGACATTTCTCTGTACTCCCTTCCTTGTCAGTGCCAGGCTCCGTCCTTCTTTAGTACCCAAATCAGTCTTCCTCCTCCTGTAAAATACTGCAAATCGTTTCATGTTATATATGAAACCAAACAGTTATCTGCGGTAGATGTTTAAACCTCAGAGTTCCTTCAAAAATGGAAAAATGAAAGTATCTTAGTAGTTGGTAGAAAATCAGATTCCTGAACTGGAGAAAAATTCTCTAACCCTAAACAAAGTTGTTGTCATCTTAATGGATTTTTTTTTTCCCATTATATTCAAGAGAGTGGAGAAAGCCTCAGAATTTGCAGTTTCAAAAGCATTTTCTGCTGGAAATTCAGACTTACCCGGAAAGCTTTGGGGCCAAATCATAGATTTGGAAACATCTGAGCCAACAGAGGATCATGATGAAGTCTATGCAGAAGGTGAGAGAATACATTTTTTGCTGCAATTAACAATTCTTTGGAGTACAACTTATTAAAGCATAACTCATAATGCACTTCAAAGTACAGAATGGAAGCTTCTCTTTCTTTTCTTCTTAATTTTCGTTTCCTTCTACTGCCCTAAAGCTCATTTACTCTGGAGTTAACCCCAATATTACAAGTAAGGCTGTATTTAAGGCCCGTTTTGTCTCCTGAAATAGAACCACATCCAGAGGCAGTTTGACATAGCACGGTTAACTGGGGAGTATTGTAGGTATTAGTCCTGTAGCACAGAGGACAGCTTGCTAATTTGACCTAGTATCCTGCAGATAATTTGACCACTAGTTTATAAATCAATTTTGTTCCTTATGAAGAGAGTCTAAAACTGATCTAACCTTCCTATCTCCCAAAAGCATTTACTCCTCTGTAATTTAGTATTTTAGTTACTGATGCCCTGAGGAACTCGACCATTTAGGGATGAAGAGATCAGGAGGGACCAGCAAAGAAGACAGGGAAGGAGAGGCTACCGAGGTAGGAAGAAAGTCCGAGTGCCATGTCCTGGAAGCCAGCTTCCATTTGGGTTTTTGACATCTACAGTTATTCAGTTTATTTTTTCATTCATTCTGTATATATATATAATTATTACTCTGTGCGAGGTACTATTTTAGGCACTGGAAGAACAGGTTATGAAAAAGAGAGGCAAAGCCCTTGCTTTCATGGAGTATATATTCTAGTGTGGGAATAAAGAAAGTTAAAGAGAAATGGTCAGATAATGGTAAGTCATTTGAATTTGGACCTGAATAAGAAGAAGGAGGCGGCTGAGCAGTGGTGGAGGAAGAGCATTCCAGGCACAGGGAGGGGTGGCATCAAGAACTGAAGTAGGGGCAAGCTTGGTGTGCTTGTGGAACTGAAGCAAGACCAGCATGGCTGGAGCTTCCCAGTGGAGAAGAGCTTGCAGGAGTGAGCAGGAGACATGTCACACAGGGCCTCACAGGACTGGGAAAAGAATTTAGATTTTATTCTGAGTATGATGAGACATCACTGAAGGGTTTTAAGCAGAGGTGTAATAGGACAATTTTTTAAATATATGAAGAATGGATTATAGGGGAGAAAAAAAGGGAAAAGGGAGATCAGTTGGAGGCTATTGCAGTGACCTGGGTGAGCAGTAATGGCTCTTGGTCTTGGGTGGTTGCTAGTACTGGTATTGGAGAAAGGGGATTGATTCTGAACTGACAAGGCTGTGTCTTGCCCGCCCCACCTCCCACCCCATAAAGAGGAATATACAGTGTACTTGAGCCTCTTAAGGTTTCTGAGAAGTCCTGCAATTAAAACAAAAATGTTTACTTACCCATTTCCCAGGTTTCTTAGACCATGAAACTCTTTTTATCCTGACATACACGTTAATATCTTGAGAAACTAGTGATCCACATTAGGAAATACTAGTGTGTGGATAGTACATGGTTTTCAAAGGTTTATGTACTTTTTTCTCCTCTCATCAACCATCTATTAATATTCTGTAAGAACTGGTGTTCTGAGGAGCTAACTTTGAGAAATTCTGCTTTAAGGAAGCCTTGTATACTCCTCCTCTGATCCAACATGTGGTATTCCTACAGTTGAACTCCAAGAGAAGTTCCCTTTCTTTGTTCTTTTGGGGCACTTCATAGTAAACTACTATTTACTACCAATGAATAAACTACCAGTGAATGGTGTTTGGTAGATCTGAATTATTCTACACATAAGTTATTATACACATAAATGTCTGAATTCTCTTACACAGGGTACTCAATGAATATCTGCTCCCTTTCTCTACCTTCGTCTGAAAGCTGATAGTAGTATCTGTTGCTAGTATACTTTTTACACTTAGTTTCTACTACCTTGATTCATTTTTTTCTGTTTTATATATCATGCATTTCTATCTGTATTAAATACCTTTTGGCATCATGTACTATATAGAAACACTTCATTCCCTCAGAGCTATGTGATAATAATAATAGTGATGATGAAGAGAATGCTGAAATACACATTTTTTTCTTTGAAACCCCCATGCCCTACCCATAAGAGTTATTTTTTAATGATGATAATAATGATGAAGGTGTTGCGAAAGTAGATATATTCTCCCATATGTATATATTTGAGAAGATTTTCTGAATATCACTAAGAAAGAAATCCAAATGGAGGTTGGCTTCCAGTATATCACACTCTGATTTTCCTCCTACCTCAATGGCCTCTCCCTCCTAGTCTGCTTTCCTGGTTCTGCCTTATCTCTTCAGCCCCTAAATACTGGAGTTCCTCAAGGCTTAGTCCTTGAACCACTTTTCTAGCCACCTTCCTCCTTTGGTGATCTCATCCACTTCTATGGCTTAAAATACTATCTGTATGCTGACAACACCCACATTTATTTCTTCAGCTTGGATCTTTCCCCTGAATTCCAGAGTGGTATAGCCAATACTCACTCGCCATCCATCCCTGTTTGGATGTCTCATAAGCATCTTAAACCTATCTAGTCTGAAACTCAACTCCTGATCTTCCCTCCACACCAGCTGTTCCATTGGCCTTCTCTGTCTCACTAAAGGGCATCTCCATTCTTGCAGTTGCTAAGGCAAAAAACCTTGTAGATTTCTTTCTCTCACATCCCATATTCAGTCCATCAGCAAATCATGTCAACTCTACCTCAAAACATTAATTTCTAGAATCTGACCTTTTTTTTTTAGTGAGGAAGACTGGCCCTGAGCTAACATCTATTGCCAATCCTCCGTTTTTTGCTTGAGGAAGATTGTCCCTGAGCTAACATCTGTGCCAGTTTTCCTCTATTATATATGTGGGACGCCACCACAGCATGGCTTGACAAGCGTTGTGTAGGTCTAGGCCCAAGATCTGAACCCATGAACCCCGGGCCACCGAAGTGGAGCCTGTGGGCTTAACCACTATGCCACAGGCTGGCCCCTAGAATCTGACATTTTTGTGTGTGTGTGTGTATGTGAGGAAGATCAGCCCTGAGCTAACATCCAATGCCAATCCTCCTCTTCTTTTTGCCAAGGAAGGTTGGCCCTGAGCTAACATCTGTGCTCATCTTCCTCCACTTTGTGTGGGACGCCACCAAAGCGTGGCTATGACAAGTGGTGTGTCGGTGCGTGCCCAGGATCCGAACCTGCAAACTCTGGGCCGTCGAAGCAGAGCACGCACACTTAACCACTTGTGCCACCGGGCCAGCCCCAGAATCTGACCATTTTTAATACCTCTATTGCAGAGACAGGCCACTATCATCTCTCTCCTGGATTGTTGCATTTGTCTCCCGGTTGGTGTCCCCTGATTCAGTACTTGTCCCCCTGTAATCTATTTTAACATGGTAGTCAGAGTGATCCTCTTAAAGTATGTCACCTCTTTGCTCACAGCCCTCCTGTAGCTTCCCATTGCATTCAGAGTAAAAGCCAGAGTACCTAGAATGGTGTCAAGACTCTAAACAAGGATTTTCAACCTCAGCACTACTGACATTTGGGCCAGATAATTTTGGGGGGGGAAGGGGGAGGGAGCTCTCCTGTGCGTTGTAGGGTGTTTAGCAGCATCCCTGGCCTCTACTCACTAGATGCTAGTTTCATTTCCCCCAGTGGTGATGACCAAAAACAGCTCCAGGCGTTGCCAGATGTCCGCTGGGGGGCAAGACCACCCCCAGTCTAGAACCATTGCTCTAAACCTGATCCCCACGTTACCGCTTCCACCCCATCTGCTACTGTTCCCCCTTCACTCACTCCTCTCCAGCCACCCTGCCTCCTTGCTGTTTCTCCAACACGCCTGACGCTCTCCTGCCTTAGGGCCTTTGCACTTGCTTTCCCTCTGCATGGAGAAATATCCCCTTACATAGGCCTATCGCTCACTCTCACACTTCCTTCCCTTCTTTGCTCAGATAGATATTGTCTTCTCAGTGAAGCCTCTTTTGACCACCCACTTTAAAACTATCAACACCTGTCTTCCATTTCTTGTACGCCATTTCTCCTTCCCCTGCTCTCTTTTTCTGACTGACTTGTTTATGGTCTCTCTTCCCCAGTTAGAATGTAAGCTTCATGGTGGTAGGTTTTATTTTTCCTGTTTTGTGCATTACTGTATTCCCAGCATCTAGAACAGTACTTGACACATGATAGGTGCTCAATTAATATTATATGAATGCATGAAAACAGTGAATGAAGAAGGTCTCTGAAGTAACTGAAATATTAAAAAAGATGTGTTTATTTTATTAATAGCTCAGGAGCTGGTCAATGACTGGTTAGACACCAAACTTAAGCAAGAACTAGCAAGTGATGGGGAAGGTGATGCTGAAGACGCTATGTCGAGTATCCCTCCTGTGCCAGAAGCCAATGGTCATTTGAAATATGACAAGTTTGATGGTAAGGACTTGTCTGATTGTTCTAAGCTTTAACATCCAATAAATGTGTCTAAGAAGTCTTTTTAATTTTTTTGAATAATAAATGATATATTATTTGACTTTTTTGTGTTTTGCTTAGTTTTATAATTGGCTTTAATTTTTCTTGATTCAATTTAAATTACTTTCTATATCTCAATAAGTTCATGGTGTTTTTTAAATTAAAATATTCTGCTCGGCCGGCCCCGTGGCTTAGCGGTTAAGTGCGCGCACTCCGCTACTGGTGGCCCGGGTTCGGATCCCGGGCGCGCCCTGACACACCGCTTGTCCGGCCATGCTGAGGCTGCGTCCCACATACAGCAACTAGAAGCATGTGCAACTATGACATACAACTATCTAGTGGGGCTTTGGGGAAAAAACAGGAGGAGGATTGGCAATAGATGTTAGCTCAGACCCGGTCTTCCTCAGCAAAAAGAGGAGGATTAGCATGGATGTTAGCTCAGGGCTCATCTTCCTCACAAAAAAATAATAATAATAATAATAAAAATATTAAAAAAAAAATTCTGTTATTTGTAGTTCTTCTTATGACTATAATAGCAGTTCATGCTGTTTGAGTACCTTTTCCCATACATTGTTGGACTAATTGTTCCCATATATTTTGAGTATTTGCTTTGATGGGGACTACATTTAAACATTCATATATCATTTTATATTTACAAAATGCTTCATATATCTTTATAAGGAAGGTTATTACTTGTACACAGAGCTAGTGTCAGGAAAGTTAAATAGCTAACTTGTGAGTCCTCAAATGTGCCCAAAGAGTGTGAGGCTTTTTCCCTGAGCATAAGGGTAGGCATGGTGATGGTGGTGGCAGCTCCTCATGTGCAACTCAGACATCCTTGGTGAACTCACCTGGCAGCATTCCCCTTGTTTAGGATTCTACGAAATCCCCAGATCAGGAATCACAAAGTCATCAGCTCTTAAAGTTAGAGGGATCCTTCAAGATCACCTGGTCTGATCTACCCGCTTCACCCTCTCAGATAGAGATCCTCCTATGGTAGCCCTAACATGAGGTGACATAATCTCTGCCTGAACACCTCCTAGGATAGGGAGCCTGCACTTTGGGAAGAGGCCATTCAGCTGTTGTGAGGCTCTAATCTTATGGCACTCTCTCTTATTTAGGAGAATTAGGGTTTTGTCCTCAGTAACTTTTGCCCTTTAGTGCAACAGAAAATAATATCATGTTGTCTCTCTCAAGAACAGTCTTTTTATTTTTTGTGGGAGTTGTAATCATATCTGATCCCTCATATACTTCAATGTTCCTAGATTAAATAGCACCAGTATTCTCAACAGTTCTTTGTATTACATTGTTTCTAGATGTTATCATCCTGGTTGCCACCTTCTGGATATTTTCTAATGCCATTATTAAAGTGAGGCATTTCAGTACTTCACATTTATTCTGAAGCATATATGGAATATTGTGAAACTATATTGTAAAACAGGCTTCATTCATCTTATACTTGTGGAGTTTTTTTTTGATCAAAACATTGAACAAAATATTATGTAGCCATTAAAAAAGATGTTTACCAAAAATGTTGATTAACATGGTTATCTCAGTAGACACAGAAAAAGTACTTGACAAAATCTAACATTCATTCTTGATAAAAACTCTCAGCAAACTAGTAATAGAAGGTAAATTCCTTAACCTGACAAAGGACATTTACATAAAACATATAGAAAAAAATACAAAAATGAAAAATGTAAATCCTACTTTATCAGGAATTAAATTAAATCTAAGTGGATCAAACACTCCAATCAAAAGATAGAGATTGGCGGAATGAATTTAAAAATATGACCTAACTATATGCTGTCTACAAAAGCACAATTTAGATTCAAAGACACAAATAGGCTGAGAGTAAAAGGATGGAAAAAGGTATACTATGCAAATGGTAACCAAAAGAGAGTGAAAGCATCTTACTAATATCAGAAAAAATAGACTTTAAGATAAAAAATTGTTACTAGAGACAAAGAAGAGCATTTTATAATGATAAAAGTGTCAATCCATCAAGAAAACATAACAAGTATAAGCATATATACACCTAACAAAAGTGCCCCAAGAAACATGCGAAAACTGACAGGATTGAAGGAAGAAATAGATAATTCAACAATAACTGTTAGAGACTTCAATACCCCTTTTTAAATAATGTATGGAATTAAACAGAACATTAACAAGGGAGATGTTCAATAACATTAGTCATTTGGAAAATGCAAATTAAAATTACCATGAGTAACCATGAGTGGTTACTACATACCTAGTAAAATGGCTTAAATTAAAAGACTGACCATGCCAAATATTGGTGAGGATGTGGAGGCACCGGAACACTCCTACGCTGCTGATGAGAGTGTAAAGTCATACGACCACTTTAGAAAACAATTTGACAGTTCCTTAAAAAGTTAAACATATACTTATCATATGATCCAACCATTCGACTCCTAGGCATTTTCCCAAGAGAAAAGAAAGCATGTGTTCATACAAAGACTCGTACACATATGTTCATAACAACTTTATTTGTAATAGCCAAAATCTGGAAACAACCTGAATGTCTATCCACAGATGAATGAATGAACAAATTGTGGTATACCCATACAGTGGAATACTACTCAGCAATAAAAAAGGATAAACAACATGGATGAATCTCAGAATAATTATGCTGAGCAAAAGAAGCCTGACCAAAAAAAGAGTACATAGTGTATGATTTAATTGATATAAAATTCTAGAAGATGTAAACTAATCTATAGTAACAGAAAGCAGGTCTGTGGTTTCCTGGGATAGAGCAGAGAGCATGGGCAGGAGTGGGAAGAAGAGATTGCAGATCAGCATGAGGACCCTTGTGGGACTGACAGACATGTTCATTATCTTGATTGTAGTGATGGTTTTACTGGTATATGTAAATGTTAAAACTTATTGTAGACTTTAAATATTTACAGTTTATGTCAATTATACCACAATAAAGCCATTTTTAAAAAAAGACAATGGGGTCCTCAAGAATGTTTAGATTGAAGTAATATCTTTTTTAAGTTTGGCATTGAGGGAGCCTTCAGTGACTTGAGTGAGGGCAATTCCTTATGAGTAGAGGATTTTTCCTCTTAGTTGAAGGTAATTGCTGAGGGCTATACTCAGCCAATTGGCATTATCAGTTACTATTTATTGAACACTCACAGCTTTAGATTTTCATTGTACTAAGATTATTTACATAAATATGGAAATTATACTGAAATTAAAATTTTCCTTTTTTGTTATTGTTTTGTTTCTCCCAGATTTATGTGGCTATTTGGAGGAAGAAGAAGAAAGTACCACCGTTCAAAAATTTATAGACCATCTGCTCCATAAAGATGTGGTGGCTTCTGGGATGTTGGAAGATCTTGGAATGAATGGAAACCTAGACAAGAAACAGCAGAAGGATCCTCGTCTTACCATGGAGATGAGACATAAGCAGGTGGGAGGGAAAAACAAAATTAAAATGGATAACAGGAAGCAGTCTTTGTGTAACACATTTAATAAGCTTAAATAAAGACTTAGGCTTTATTATGAAAAAGGGTGCCATCTGTGGTTTGGTTAGAAAGAATAAAAATAAAATAGAACTTCAGAAGAAAAATAATGCTCATAAATTGAGGATAGGAAACTATTTAAGAAAATCAAAAAAGGAATAATTGATTTGACCAATAAATTGGTGAGCTAAAGTTTATTAGTTTGGATATGATACTTCCTTTTATAAATATGTAGATTGGGTCTTGCTTGAATTTGGTTTTTGAATTGTGACATCAATATATTAATATCATGAATATTCTGGTGAATGTTATAATGATAATTCTTCTCTAGACAACTGAAAAATTCACTCATTTTGTGATTATAATTTGAAAGGAAGGACAGATCTGAATTAAACCTAGTTCAGCTGTTTTGAATTAGAAAGGCATATGGGAACTTTCTTTTCTCCAAAGGGAATGGTAGGTTATAGGAAAAACATGCATCTCAATACTTTGTAGAGGAGCTTCAGGGAATCAGAATGACCAAGTCTTTGCCACATGTCCAGAACTACGGCCGAACTAGAATTAATGTCTCTATATGTGTGTGCTATCTTTTTATAAGACTGAATTTCTGCTTGCTTTAAATCATTAAGATGTGCCTAATTAGCACTGGGGATGTTAGAGAAATTGGGGTAGAATTATGATCCTGGTTTGGATTTATGCTGAAAGGGAGGAACGAGGGTTCAGTAAGAGATAGCCATCATCTAGAAGTCTTATCATAACTGGAGAGTAAGATAAGGGTAGAGTTAAGTAAAGCAGGAGGGAGAGGAACACTCCTTAACTTGTAGCTAGTCAAGCCTCTAAAGAATAAATAGTTTGAAAAAAATGACGTGCTTATTCAGAAATATCTGTGAAGTTCATGGTTTTGATTTCCAAATATGATCCAGAATCATTTATATATTTAAATAATGATAGAAATCAATAAAGGGTTGTGGTGTTCCTTAAGGCAGTAAATCACTGTTCTATTCTTTACAATGTAGCCTCCCAAAAATATCCTTATTCTTTCTTAAATTATAATTAGCATGCAGACAGGGCCTACATTAATAGCAGTAATGTACTCCTTGGAAAATCTTATGGGTGGGAGATCATGACTAAATAAGAATCCAGAACTTGGCATGTGACCATTAGATTTTCAGCTTTTCCACGGTGCAGATCATTCCCAGATTGTTTGGGAGTCATCTTACCACCTGACTTCATCCAAAATTTTGTATTGGCCCTTACCCAGTAAACAAATGAATTCCCCCTGTTCTTCTGATAAACAGTGAGGTTCTGGGCCAGAATGTTTCAAACTGGAGTCTGAACTTCAGAGTATGTTCTAAGGTTTGCATATCCCTTTCTACTCGAAAGGCTGCGTTCACCTTTCTTGTATTCTCTTTAAGGTAAAAGAAAATCGCTTAAGACGTGAGAGAGAACTGGAGCGCCAGAGAATTGAAAAGACCCTGAAAAAATCGGCCTTCCTAGAGGCTCAGTATCTGGTGCAAGAAGAGAAGAAAAGGAAGGCTCTGGAGGCCAAGAGGGAGGAAGAGGAGATTCAAAGGGAGATGGTAAAGCTGCGGAGGGAGATCATTGACAGGAGACGCACAGTGGAAGAAGCATGGAAAACGTAAGCCTGCCGTCATGAGCAGCGTGAAGTGTGTTGTTTAAGCAAGTCATTTTGGAAGTCCTCTAAAGTTTTTTAAAATGCACAAACATTGCAATAACAAAACACAAAAAAGAAATCACCCATTATTCCACCATCTTAACAATGAACTATTTTCCTTTTTCCATGTTTCCTCCTGGTGTTGGTCCCTTTACCTACTTAATTGCAACCATAAAGTACATTTAATTTGTTATTCCTCTTGTTGTAATTAACACATTGCCCGGAGTCCTGAGGTCTGTATATTACATCGTTGAATTCCTGTAGTATAATTTATGCAATGACCTCCCCTCCCTATTCTGGTAAGCATTTCATCTATTTTAGATTTTTTACCAATAGCACAGTGAGCATCTTTAAGCATAGAGCTTTTTCATTCTTTTAAGTTATAGTCTTAGGAGTGTAATTACTGAGTTAAATGGTATAGGCCTTTTTATGACTCTTGAAACATTGCCAAATTACTTTCTAAATGGCTTGTACTTATTTACACTGTTGCTGGCAGTGGGCCAGTTTACCTCACTCTTCTCAGCATTGGGGAGTGTCATCATTTTCAATATTTTTGCACTTTTTAATAGGTATTGTATTGATTGGTTTGCATGTCTTTGGTTACGGGAACGTTTTTAAGGTTGACGCTGTCTCCTTATGCACGTTCACTAATTGTGCCTTGTCCTATTGTGGTTTGTGTCAGTGTCTTATTTTCTGATAATCACACAGAGAGTCACCACTGCTTTACTGCCACTGATAAAGAAAAAGAATATCTGACATAAGTGGAAAATCAAAATAGTCCTCACAGGATGTAGTACTATTATGTATCCTCATGCACAAAATTAGCTTCATAAATGAAATAACTAATGTATTTATTCGGAGAAACAGCACTGATGCGTGAACTGCAAAAGCCTTGGAACAACGTGCCTGAAGTGACTGAACACTCAAACTGAGAGGCCAGAAAGACCTCTTAGATAATCCCTTCCACCCCCGTCAGCTCACACAGCTTTTCCCCTTGTGTTCTTGATTGCTCTTATTCTACCCAATTTAAAACAGCTTGGCAGTGGACGTGCACTTCACTCTTTCAAGTGCCAGGCTCAGGCCTCCTCCAGACTCCATTCCTTTCAGAAAGCAATCACCAGTGTTTTAGTGAGTTCTTGCTAAGGTCAACCTTGCTTTTCAGATTGCTCTCAGGCCCTGAAAAATCTAGGCTGACCTAAAATAAATTGTGAAAACAAGTAACATTTGATGGTAGCAGGATGCTCTGCTCACAGTGGGGCACTCAGCAAACGTTCACTGACCACTCATTTCTTTTAAAAGTTAAAATCTTATCCACGTTACAGTGAGACAGATAATGTGCTGTACTTCTAGGTGGATGAACTGATTTAAACGTTCCAGAAAGCAATTTGGCAATAAACAGCAAGAGCCATAAAAATAGTATTATCACTTGATCTGGGAATTCCAGTCCTAGGAAAATTGCCCTGAGAAAATGATCAGAAATCCAGACAAAGATAATTAAAGTAATATTATTTATAATAACAGACATTAATAAAGAATGGTTGTGCACTCAAAAAACACTGACACGCTATCAGTGTTTTTTTCTGGGTGGAAATATGGATGGCTTTTATACCTTTCCAATTTTTTCAATGAGTAGATATTACTTTCCTAACAGATACATATTTTAATGTTATTTTAAAAAATCGGATCCATGGTATTAGAACTGTATTTCTTTAAATGCCCACTATGATCTACGTAAATCCATATAGTATAACGTTGTTATGGCATCAGTAAGTTTGGAAAGAATCAGTAAAATTTTTTTGTTGGTAGGGCTTTTTAATTTATTTGTAAGGTATCCTAAATCTCTTCATTGCATAGTTTCAAAGCATCTCCTCCAAGAGATTTATTAATTACAAAGGGAAAAATAGCAACGTTACACTGGAGAAGCCGCCTTAACCAAGTGATGGTTAATATCACCAGCAATAAGATAGAACATTGTGTGCCCGCTATATGATATATGAGAATTAATGAGAGAATGTCAATAGAGTATTCTGGCATCTCTCTCTCAGTTTGAGTTTCCACAACTGTAAAGTGAAATTCAGAAAGACTAGATAACTTGGCTGAGTTTTCACAGCTGGTTTGTGGTCAGAGCCCCTGAATCCTGATTCTTGACTAGGCGCTATCTTTACTACATCACTGATAGTATATATACTTTATATACATACACGTACCCATGTAGTTCAGTCCACTCCAGTAAGAAGGCAGTGGCTATGAGCTTGCTTGGATTGATGAGTGTAAGACAGATGGCCTGGATGAGAAAGAATAGGTTGGTGGGTGATGGCCAGAAAGATAAGCAACAGAGTTACTCAGAGATTCTTATTACTAGCTTAAAGGCCTTTTCCTTATTGTTGTTAAGTTCTACTTTTTCTCTTTTCAGCTATTTTAGAATTAATACAAATTCCATTCTCTCCTTACTCAGTAACACCTGATTGTTTTATTATTATTTTCCTCCCTAGAAACTTTGTAAAAGCCTTGTGGTAAAAATTCATTCTTTTCTTACCTGAGGGTCCTTTTTGTCCCCTCTTATAAGAAGAGAGAGGACTTATGTCTACATTAGAGAATACCTAGTAGTTAACTTTCAAATTTTGATCAAAGTATCGCTCAATCTTAAACTCAATAAAAGTACTTTACTAAAATATCTATGTGGATTTCTACTTTTCAGAGTATAACAATTTTATTTCATTTAATCTGTGCTTTATAAAAGAATAAACTAAGGTTAGAAAAAGAAAATCACCCTACTATGTAGTTTTAGAGCCAGATCTAAAAATCTGTGTCTTCTGATGGAAAATTCAGTGTTCATTCCACTATGGTAGGTTGTAATTACTCATTGTTAAGTCTATTATTCATACATGTATTTTTAAATTGTTATTAATAGAGAGAAGAAAAAGCAAGAAGAAAATTCTCAAAAAAATCTGGAAAAAGGCATGTTTCAAAGTGTTCATATTCTTCAGGATGAAGAAAAAATGGCAAAGGAAAGAAAGAAGAAACTGAAAGAGTTATTAATCCAAACTTACAAGGAAGATCACCAGGTGGGAATTGTAATGTCTCTTTATTCAGCATTCTGTAGCATAAATGACAAAGGGCTCCATCAGAGATGGGACAGAGTAACACTAAGTCCACCTGAGCCTCGTCACAGATACCACAATTGCCCACACCGTTTGTTCTATTCCTGCTGCCCCGCTGGGCTGGTGCACAGGGCAGTGCTCCCGTCCCCTGTTCAGGGGCTCTTCTTATATACTCCGTGTGACCCTGGGAAATCGGGGGACAGATTTGGCATGTCTTCCTAAATTACCCTTTTCAGAATGGCATTTAACTACTGATGTAGATCTCAGACAGTTTTTGAAAGCTTGGCTTCCACTTTGACAGTCTTATGGACTGCTGTGTTCTGGATTATTCAGAAAGTCACTTGCCTTTTGGAAGCTCAGATCTTCAAGCAATGATATACTTAGGTTTGTGCTTCTCGTTTTAACGGTCTGCATTTTATTTTACTCTTCTCTCCCTCTCTTTTACTTTTACTTTTTGTAAAATTAACTGGCCTGGACTGGCCCCGTGGCTTAGCGGTTAAGTGCGCGTGCTCCGCTACTGGTGGCCCAGGTTCGGATCTGGGCGCGCACCGACGCACCGCTTGTCCGGCCATGCTGAGGCCGCGTCCCACATGCAGCAACTAGAAGGATGTGCAACTATGACATACAACTATGTAGTGGGGCTTTGGGGAAAAAACAGGAGGAGGATTGGCAATAGATGTTAGCTCAGAGCCGGTCTTTCTCAGCAAAAAGAGGAGGATTAGCATGGATGTTAGCTCAGGGCTGATCTTCTTCACAAAAAAAAAAAAATTAACTGGCCAATTTTTTATTGACAAATGAGCATCCTCCCCAGGCCACTTAAGCAGAAGTTTTTTTTCAATAAGTAGGATTGATAACAGCATGAATTTGGGGCTTATAACCTTTCAGAGTTACTTGCAAGGAGTTCTTGGGAAGATTTGTAAATGAGAAGTCAGAATGAGGAAAGATAAATCTGTGTATTTTTATATCTCCTACCATAAATACCCACTCCAAGGCCTTAGGCATTGCTGAAATTCAGTGAAGGTTAGTGGAATGAATGGATGAATGAATGGATTCAACAAGAGAAAAGAGAATGTCAGGAAAATATTGAGGGAGCTTGATAAATGTAGGATAGACCACAAAGGCCCTGGAAGTCAGTAACAGGAATTTGTATATGATATGGGTAACTAAGATATGAGGAAAAAAGTAAAATAGTCAAAGCGATTTTTTTAAAAAGCTGGACACGTTCAATGGCAGTGTTTTGTACTGATGGGCAAGAAGTCATAATTATTCAGACGTAAAACAAGAGCTTGCTCAGAGTTTTGGCTTAGGAACACAGAGGGAAGTGTGGTAGGAGGGAATGTTAAGAGTTGGGCTTAACATTTTGAGAAAGATTAGCCAAGACTCGTAGATGCTGCATCCTTCATAAGACAGATGGTGTTAGTGTGTCCTCCAGCAATAACAGTTCAGATTTCTAAAAGAAAATAGGAAGGCAAGTGAGTACTTAGGGGGCCATCTTGAGAAGGCATAAGGAAAAAGTGTCATGATATGTTACCCAACCAATGAGAGATGAATAAGACGTGTGTTCTCAGTGAGATCAACTTTTAAATTTTATTCAACTCCACTGTACAAAAAGAAATAATGTATGTTTTAGATAGAAGTGCTAGCATGACTTTTAGACACATATAAAGAGTTTTACAAAATTAATGGCCTATTAAAACAGATTACTCAGTTTTAAAAGGGCCAGCCAGTATATTTAAAAATGAGAGATCATGAATAAATTATTTCCACTTTGCCACAAATTCTGCTTGCTTTGAGCTTCTACTTTATTGTTTTTAAGTTTTTATTTTGAAATAATTTTAGACAAACAGAAAAGTTGCAAAAATAGTACACAGAGTTCTTGAATACCTTCACCCAGCTTTTCCTGATGTTGACATCTTCCATAAGCATAGAATAATTATCAAAACTAGGAAATTAACATTGGTACAATACCACTAACTAAACTATAGACCTTATTAGAAGGTCACCAGTTTTCCCAGTAAGGTCCTTTTTCTGTTCCGGGACTCAATCCTTAATTCCCTGCAGCATTTAGTTGTCATGTCTCCTTAGTCTCCTCCAGTTTGTGACAGTTCCACAGTCTTTCCTTGTCTCTTATGACCTTGACATTTTTGAAGAGTACTGGTCAGGTGTTTTGTAGAATGTCTCTCAGTTTGGGTTTTCTGATGTTTTCTTCTGCTTAGATTGAGATTATGCATTTTTGGTAAGAATACAAGTGATGCCCTGCACTTCTCAGTATATCAAATTAGGGGGTACATAATGTTGATATGTCTTATACTGTTGATGTTAACCTTGGTCACTTAAGAGTGTGTCTGCTGGGCTGCTCCACTGTAAAGTTACTGTTTTTCCCTTTATAATTCATAAATGTCTTAGAGGAGATGTTGTGAAACTGTGCAAATATTATGTTTCTCCTTAAACTTTCACCTATTAATTTTAGCATCCGTTGGTGGATTTTGCCTGCAACAGTTATTAATGTGGTATTTGTCTAATGATGATTTTGTATTTCCCTCATTTCTTCTCCATTTATTAATTGAAATTCTTCTAGAAGGAAACGCTGTCCCTTCTCCTGGGTTTATTTATTCATTCGTCTATTCCGTTATTTATTTGTATCAATATAAGCTCATGGGTATTTATTTTATTCTATGGGTTATAATCTAATATTATCATTGTTTACTTTGTTACTCAATTGTTCTAACTTTGGCCATAGGGAAAGCTTTCAGGCTGACTCCTTTGCCCTTTCAAAATGCTCCATCCTTTTTGGGGCACTTCTTTCTTTCTGGCACCACAAGATGTTCCAGGCTCATGTTGTACTTTCATTGCCCCAGTCCTAGAATCAGCCGCTTCTACGCAGACCTTTGGTTCCTTTTACTGGAGAATCGTATTTAGAGATCGAGATCTAGATACTAGGTGTTCTCACTGCTACTGGGCTGTCATTGTTTCTGGGTCCTCTCAGCAGGCAGAGCTTGGAAATACATGTATGTATAGTAACCCACACATACACACATTATATTTATTTCTGGGTCTACCTGTATACATATTAAAATCCAGGAGTTCATGCTGATACCTCCAATTCCAGTGCAGCAACACAGGGCTCATGCTATCCTTCCCCCTTCCTTATTTGTACCTTACTTCTGTATCTATCTGTATATATATTAAAATAATCGTGAGTTCATAATGATAACTTCAACCCTGACCCAGCACCACAGACTTCAGTGTCGCCTTTCCCCCTTGCTTGTTTATAACTTCTTTCTCTGACAGTGAGAAACCTGGAGCTCCTTATCTAAAACATATTTACTTATTTGTCTAATCCTAGTTACTATAAAAGTAGTTTCAGAATTGCTAACCCATACTGCTATGGAAACAAATTTCCTAACTAGAGTACAATATTTATACAGTTATTTTTGTTTTCAGCCTTATTCAGCCAAAATATTGTTACTTAGGTGGGTTCTCTTCTTCCCCTTCCTTGTGATTCTGTTATTCATTTGTGATATTGTTAGTGAACCCGATTTAGGGCATATGGGTGTGACTGAGACATGGGGAAACGCACCTGCCGGACTCCTCAGACTTGTGCATAGACTTGGCTGGAGACAGGACAGTCCTCGGATAAATGCCACTGGAGTAGCAGGCCCTTGGGCTCATCATCTGGGTTCCAGTCCACATTCCTGGCCTGGTTCTGAAGGATCCTGAAGCTGCCCTTGGCTCATGAAACTTGGATACTCAGCATTCTAAATAGACCACAGGATGAAGAGGGAAAATGCCTAGCTGGCTTGCAGCGAGTGGCTAGACAGCAGGAAGCTCGTGTCAGCGCCTTCACAGTGGTTCACTGGCGCAAACCCAATAGCAAGCCATATAGAGTATTTGCGGGAAGACCTTGAAGAATCTGTTTCTAGGAGTTGCTCTAGTTCAGGCTCCTTTAATTCCTGTATTCTTCGTTCTTTGACTCTGGATTGTATTTGTTCCCCCAAACAGTCTGTTAACATCACATTTGGCCCACGTTATTCAATAGGAGACTTTCTGAGAGAAATGGAGCAGGCTCTCTTATCCAAACACAAGTTCAGGTGCAGTGCTATCCATGCATCTTTCCCACACATTTCATTGCCAGGTCTCTTTGTTTTATCCAAAACATCTGTTTTTGTGTAGAAACTTTCTACCTCCATCCTATCCTATTTTCTCTTTGATCTCGCAGTGAAATCTCTTGGGGAGATTTAGCAATCCACACGTCCTTGCTAATTAGCAGAAACAACAAGGGATTAACTATGAAATTCTTATGCTATTTGGAAAATGGCCTTGTTAATTCTCACCCTGTTCTGAAATACCTTTTATGTTTTCTTAATAAGATAAGAAAGTCTGTGATCGTTCCTGCTTGTGGAAGTTGAAGAGAACAATGCAAGATGGGTTGATACTAACCTAAATATTAATTCTGTGGGCAAGGGTTTTGGTTTGCTTATTTGATTGGGTTTTTCCGTTAGAGAGTAAGATAATAATGACCCAAAGGAGTCATTGTTAATGTTAGGTTTGTGGCATAGCGCCTTCCAGAAGGCCACCCCAAACTAAGCCAAGGGAATGTGGAGAAATATGGAAAAGAAGCCTGGATTTTTTTTTGCTGATGAGATGATGAAAACTGTAGTTAAGTACCTCATTTATATAGCATGATTCCTTCCCAAAGATCTTAGTTTTATCAGGACTGCCCACACACCACTGAAGTAAAACCGTTTCTGAGCTGAAACAGCAACCGGACTCTCAGCAATGTTGTCTTATGTTTGGGAAAGGAAATGAAGGGAAAGCCTCTTTGCAAATAACACTGCAGAGAAAGAGAAATGTTAGGCACACACATGAAGAATGTTGGGATTCCTGTAACTCTCCCCTCTAAGCCTACTGCCAAGGACATGTGGTATACATTTCAGGAGGGGTTTTGAAGCATTGTTATGTAT